ATTTCGAAGTCAACGTGTGTTAAGTGGAGGGTTGGCTCGCTTCCGCTGGAGCTTGGCGTCTTCTTTTTCCTCTGCTTCCCGCTCTTCGTCGAACTGGGGTATTCGGTTATAGGATCGTTTGGAAGTTCGGCAGCTTTCTTCATACCTGTGGATGTCATCATTCTGACTATTCGCAGGTGATACTTTGGCCGACGTTGGTTCGTGGAACAGGTGGGACGGGAGATGACGTATTTGTTGCATTGGAACTGGGAATGATTTGCGAATAATATTGGGAGGTCCAGTATTGAGGATTTGAAAGTGAGGGCACGGGGATTTATACGGTAAGCTACTGTAGGAGACTTACCACCGTTCTCCTGCTGGTGCTTTTCCAGAAGAGTTCCCAAGAAGGTCTCAAAGGTCATGCCGGGGGGTAGTGCAAAACCATGGGGAAGGGCCAGTGTGCAAAACCTAAACCCTAAATATAAGCCACATGATTCATTCGATTCTATTCACCATTATCCTGTATTAGTAGACAAGTTGAACTAGTACTGGAAACGGAGACGACCCAGGGGGCATATGAATTCTTGGCAGAAATGGTCAGTGACGAGTGACGAGCCCACAAAAGCGTTCCAATTCTCCCACCACCATCAAGCATCAGAGATCTCTTGACAGCAATCCACCACTTGCTTGCCCAGACGCTTCTAGCTAGCTAGCTAGTAGTTCTCTCTCAAAAGTTCTAAAAGAGAGTGAGAATCCCTACCGGTATCGTCAAGAGCTCAGCTACAGACTGATTTACTTCTCGGTGTGCATTGTGTTAGCTAGAGCTAGCTGCTACCACAACCTCAGTAGTAAGCTCCAACACTTCTTATCGAACCAATCCTTCCTTCTGCGTCATCAATCGTCCACAATGAGGTCCGATGAAAGCAAGAGCGATTTGCCCTTGTTGGATATCACAGTAGCTGGTAAGGAACAAGAAGTGGGTCTGTGACAAAGAAAAAGTTCATTCGAATTTACTAACCTTCCTCTTTCTTCGACTGCTGCTACCGTACTAAAGAAAAAGTAGATGTCGGCACCGACAAAGTCCTAGAGAGCCCTCATGTGAGTGAAGGGCCTGGTCGCATTGCCAACAGCCCTGTTCCTTCTATCTTTGTGGACGATCGTGGTGAAATTCATCGATTGCGAGTGGGTGGCAAACGGATCAATATGCTATTCAGCAAGAAGGATGTCATGAGATCCGGCTACCTGCATAATCACAAGACATTTAGCTTTGTCGTCAGTGGCAAGGTCGAAGTATGGCTATTGGAAACAGATGGAACCAAAAAGACAGTCTATGAGTCTGGCAAGTTCCTTACGGTCGACAGTTTCGTTCCCCACATCTTGCATTTTTTGGAAGATACCATCATTTTGGAGTTCTGGGAGGGCAAGTTTCAGTGTTGGTATTATCATCCCTATCGACGGCTGGTCCAACTACAAAATGAACTGGTGGCAAATTGTGGAAACAAGGATGATGTATCCAGTAGTATTGGACAATTTCAGCGGCTTGTGCCAGCTGATCTCGGAGAAGCCACCAAAACAACAACCGCTGGAGCCATCTTGTGGTTGGGCACAGGGATGGTAGTTGGTGCCGTGGCAGCCACTGCGAGTCTTTTGTTTCTGGCTGGAAGTGCCAAACATCGCAGTTAACCACACATTCCACGTATGGCAGGTTTTGTGCATATCTAGCTAGCCAGAGATGACAACCAAAGATGTCTGGGAATGTCGTTTTTAAATCAGAAATTTGGATTCTCATTGCTAGAGGCTTTCATTTCTGTGTCAGCTCTTGTGTCCAAGATGTACGCATCATCCAACACTCCGTCTTCTCTGATAAAAATAAATCTCAAAAGCTTGTTTGTCCTGGCACTTGCCCACCTCTTTACTTCTTTGCATTTGGGCCTAGATCATGTGGCCAGTAGGTGACCCTGCAAGGCATCGATCCTCGGCTGTACCGGTAGCTCAAACAAATCTACAAGTTGTGGCGCCCCACTACGCCCACTGGAAAAGATGCTTCTATCCAACATGGTACCAACCAGAAGCAATGTTGCACTGGCACACCTGTTTTGGTGCCCACGATGCCTTGCTTTGGCTTGAGGCTCACCGTGCTGTTGCTCAATACATGAGTTGTATTACAGTCCTTTCAAAGCTATTAATGGCTTGCTAGCCACTATTGAGTCCAGTTGCTAGCCAGAAAGCTGCTCATTCGCAAAATACGTGAATGCAGGCGCCACGGTGTGGAAAGGAGCTGTTGTATCCTTAACCTTCACTTCGTCTGCTCTGTTGCCCTGACCGCTGCACTTGACGAGAAGAAAGCAAAGATTTAAAGCAAATGACCTGGAACATGAATGAAGGCAATTTGACCAAGCCCCAGTTGCAAGATGTCATTTGTACGAAATCGGTTGGTACATTCTATACGAAGTGGAAAAAGGGGCGCACTCTGTTTTAGTAAGCTGTCCGACTATGGTATTCCGTGTCTTACGGCAGACTAGTGTCTATTGTTGGCGGAAATTCGGTTAAGGTGGTTACAAGGCTTGTGGAAATGGGCACACAAGGATTTAAACTCTTTCGAAAACAAGATCGCAAAATGTCTCACTTTGGCATCCATGCGACGTCAATTATTTGTCCTGTTTACGAGCAGCCTTCGTTGCTTATTGGGGGATCTGTCACCCCAACTTGCAGCCACCAAACTAAAACTGCATCCTTCTTTGACGGAAGTTTGAATCGAATCGAACCGCAACAAGCATCGCAACGCAAGGCAGCGGTCAGCGGCGGCGGCACAAGCTGACCACTCGATCGAAAGAGCTCGACAGAGAAGAGGGGGCACCCATGTTGCGTGCTACCAGCAACGGCGCAATTTCCCTCATCCTACAGCTGGCTAGCTACAGTACGGGTACAGTCGCATCTGTTCCATCTATATCAACACCCTCTTGGTGCGGTACTCTGCTATTCGAAACCGCCAGGAAACATTTCCCTTCCATTGGCCATAATTGGCCTGACGATCACAGCAACAACTAAGTCATCATGTCGGGTTACACTCTGATTCAAGAACAGGCGTTAGCCATTGTTCCCAAGGTCATGTCTTCTATCTCGATCCCCTGCAGTATTTTCATCATACATGAGGTATATTGCGACTATAAAACGAGAGGCACAACGCCGGTCCAACGAGCCTTGGTTGGAATGAGTACAGTAGACATTCTTGCTTCCTCAGCTTGGTTCCTGTCCACCTGGGCAGTTCCCAGGGGATCATTTGCCTTTGCCACAGGAAACAGGACATCCTGCAACTTTCAAGGTTTCCTGCTGCAACTGGCCATTGGTGCTCCTCTCTACAATTGTTCTCTGGCTCTGTTTTACTTGCTAATGATCAAACAAAGATGGACCGACGACCAGCTGGCAAGAATAGAATGGTGGGTTCATGCCTTCATCCTGTCCTTTACAATTGGAACCTCCATCCTCCTGCTACAAATCGAACAATACAATCATATTGGAGCAGTAAGTTTACTTTTGTTCCATAACCCTGGAGGCCACACCACTCGCGGGCGTGCGTTTTATTGTCTTATCGTGTCTTATCCCATATATTTTTGTTCAATCTTATCTTATGCTAGGTATGTTGGGTGATTGGAGAACCCGCTGGTTGTGGCAATAGCAGCTATCAAGGCAGTGATGTGCCCTGTGAACGAGGAAACTATGCTTGGGCATGGGGGCTTGCCCTGTTCTATGGGCCACTTTGGGTCTGTGTGATAGGGTGTGCCAGCGCTATGGTTATCCTGTATTTGGAAGTCAGAAAGACCCACACCAGATCCAGAAGTTATTCTGTTGCAATTGGAATGCAACACAATCTCAGTAGGAGTGGGTCTGATTCTTCAAGAGTGGCCATACAGGCTATTCTATATTGCCTGTCCTTTGTTATAACATGGATGCCATCAACCCTCTGGTCCATTGCACATTGGTTTAGTTGGGGCCACTATGGGCTTGACATGGCAGCAGCTTCAGCAGAACCGCTGCAAGGGATGTGGAACATGTTGATCTTCCTCAAGGCCAGGCCCAAGAGTGTGCACAAGATTAAGCAAATACTGTCAACGATCCTCCCCTGCATTTTCAGTGCCCCGTCGGACGAATATTATGACCCTTACTTGAGTTTTTCCACCGGTCTGCGTCGTGGTCGGTTTGCCCATTCGCGAGCGTCCTCCAGTCGATTTGGTACTGTTGCCTCTGCAAATTCGAATCTTTCGGGCAACTTCTCCTCCGGTCTCATGGGCAATCACTCCTCCGGGCACTTTGCTATTGCAGAGGAAAACAAAAAGCAAGCGCACAGAAACACTGCCTCCACTGAAGCTCTCGATGATCTCAAAGAGGCATCGGTTAGGGATCTAGACTGCGACATCTCTGGGTTCGGCGAAGACAGAGAAGAAAAACTCGACTCCTCGAGGGATTGTGAAGCAAAGGATATTATAATACCTGTGGATTGCATGCTGCAACTGGCAACGACGATGAGTGACGATGAATCACAAGATCAATGTACCGAGGAGGTTCGTCAGTGCTCCTCACTTTCTGATCATCACAACGAATGCTCAGTGCGTGCCCAAGATGATGCAGTAGCGGTATCGGAGTCATCTGGCGACCTTACGAGCGAGCAGGTGACGACGCGTTCCGTGGATGTGGAATCTCGGAATGAAGAATTCCCCGAAGCGCAGGATGAGGATGGATCTGTCTTTGCGGACGAAACTGACGATGATGCATTGAACGAACGAGGTCTGGGTGGTGATGCACTGGATCGAGAGGATCCTGGAGGTAGCGAGGGACGCGGCTACGGTGCAGAATCCGTCGAGAGTGAATGCACGAAAGTTGGAGCGACGCTCGCCCCTTGAAAGTCGCCCAGGCCATCCTTGAGCAAACAGCAGACGATTGTATATTGCTATTGTATAACTATGTCATGCTGTGTAATATTTTTTGTTTGTGACGGAAGAAAGCCTAGCTAAGCCACGTGCTACACTGAAGAAACTTGTTTTGAATGGATGAACAAGTGGACTTGACTCGACTCGACTCCTGTACGAGAATAGCTACGAGAATCATTTCCGAAGTTCCTTCAGGCTCGAGATACAGCGTCGAGGCAGCACCTATCTAGCTAGCTAGCCAGTAGCTCTAGCTAGTATGGCTATCGCCTCCGCGCTGGTTCGCCGATCGGGGTGGTCGCTGGTCAGCTCTTCCTTTGTTGTTCTTGTACCGTACAGTACCAGAACTGTACTAGCCAGTACGGCTGGACCAGGTAATACAGCTACGTAGCCACTAACTAGCTACTGGGGCACCTACTGAAAAAGCTCTCACTTCCCTGATTTCTTTGAAAACTCGAATTGGCTGCATCAGCTGGTGCATCGCAAGTGCATCCAATCAATTCGTGGCAACCTTGATAATAAGATGCTTCGACTCCAATCTTGCATTAGCACCTCCACCCTAGTTTCAAAAAAGTGTGCAGAATCTTAGCGTACTGGTATTAATAGCACAAATATCCATACTGAACGCATATCTTAACTCAGAATCAACCATCAGTGTGATATAATGCTCCTACTATGAAGGCAGTGCTATGAGACAGTTCCACTCTGTTTCCTACCTTACTCCTACAAAGCATGCCTTCATGAAGATAAGAGAGCAAAAAGCAGTTCATCAGCCGAATGAGGCAGGAAATTTTCCATTTGGCACCTGTTTCTATAAGGTTATTGAAGATATAATCATTGAATCATCTATCAATATATAAATGTGCCCAAGGGAGAGTACTCCTGAGTATTTTAGCTCTGAAAAAGGGGGGAACTGAATGCCTCCATTAATGTTGTGTATCTTGCATTTTGGCGAACAAGCTCCAATTATCTTAAATTAAAGGTAAATATTTTACAGCACAGCAGCAATAATCTGCCAGCGGCAACGCGGCAACCACAGTCCCACTTCTCCAGGAGAAGGCCATTAAAAAATTTTGATATAATTAATTGTTAACGGTTCCTGGGAACCCCTCGCTTCTTTGCGCTTCTTCAAGGCTTCATGCTCATGGCCACAACATGATGTCCATTCGATATTATTTAATAAATATTACTAGTACACTCTAGTACTCAGCATGATGACTAGACTACACCGTGCAGTCGTACCAGTATAATGGTCGTCCACCCGTACAGCTTTACTACGAAGCTCCAAGCCAATCATAATTTCAAGCCGCGCAGTGAACATGACAGCGTAGAAGCCCCATCTCGACAGTCCTCTCGACCATCCTTAAAACTTAAAACGGTATGCTGCGAACCTCTCCAAAGGCTCCCTTAGAAGTGTTGAGATAATCGCAACCACATACCTGGTACCAACAACAACCTACAATCTGACCCAGCAAGGCAGCTGGACTTCGAGGGTGGCCAAACATGACGGGCAGTGGGTTGACGGTCGCCCAAGAACGAGCACTGGCTCTGGTCCCCAAGTTCACATCCAGTTTGTCAATTCCATGTGCCATGTTCCTCATCTATGAAGTATACTGCGACCACAAGAGAGGCGGAACCAACTGCATCCAGCGAGTGCTTGTTGGGATGAGCATCATTGACATTCTTGCTTCCTCAGCTTGGTTCTTGTCCACATGGGCTGTGCCAAAAGGGTCATTTGCTTTTTCAGCGGGCAACATGGCTACGTGCAACTTTCAAGGGTTCCTGCTACAACTCGCCATTGGGGCACCACTCTACAACTCCTCCCTGGCAATATTCTACTTGCTCATGGTCAAGAGGAGGTGGACCGAAGACCAACTCCAACATCTAGAACGCTGGGTACATGGATTCATCTTATCCTTTACTATTGGCACATCCGTCCTCCTGCTTCTGCTTGGTCAGTACAACCACATACAAGCGGTAAGTACGGGGTCTGTCACTGGTCCTCTTATCCAACAAAGGCATTGCTTGGGCTAACTTTAGTTGACGCGTGTTCGTATTCAGGTATGTTGGGTCATTGGTGATCCGCCAGATTGTGGAAACAGCGGCTTCCAAGCCAGTGATATTCCATGTGAACGCGGTGATCATGCATGGGCATGGGGACTTGCCCTGTTCTATGGCCCTCTGTGGGTATGTGTTGTTGCCTGTTGTTCTTCCATGGTGGCATTATGCCAAGAAGTTAAAACCACAATTCGCAGGTCGTCACGTTACACAACGTCGTTGGGTGCTGCCCATTCCCTCCATAGAAGTACTAGAGACTCTTCCAAAGTGGCTACTCAAGCCATTCTTTACTCTCTTACCTTCTTGATCACATGGATGCCCTCTACTCTCTGGTCCATTGCCCACTGGTTCAATTGGAGTCACTATGGCTTGGACATTGCAGCTGCAACAGCGGAACCCCTTCAAGGGATGTGGAATCTCATGATTTTCCTTAGAACGCGTCCCAGCTCTCAAAGAAAAATACAAAGAATGCTGGCTTACCTATTCCCGCGTTGCTGCGAGGCGCCAGAAGAGGAAGTCACGGAACCATCAGAGCCAGGATCGCGGTTGAGCTTGACCCAATCTGTCATGAACATTGGGAGAGTGTTTGGGCCGCTGCGGTTACTATCAACTAGGGTCAGTAAGCTCGACCTAAGAGACATTCCTGAACTACAGGTCGTGGAAGCAGAAGATCCTTGTGAAGTGTCACGGCTAGGCTTCAGCACTGTGAGTTCCGAGATTGGAGATATCACCACTGGTCGAGACGGAAGCTCCAAGCACAACGACAACAATCAAATGCGTGTAGAATCTGAGGCCCCACTAGATATTGACATATCGTGGAGTGATTCTGGAGAAGCAGATGAAACTTCCAACCAAAAAGAAGCAGCAATCGACGAGGATTCCAGCGGTTGCGAGCTGCGGAGGATGGCTGTGGGTGCAGCAGACACGCACCCAAACGACGAATCTGAATGCGACATACGCCAAGCGCTGATTGAACAGCAACGCACCAATCCACAAAACGAACAAAACGAATCAGAGCAAATCCAACAACAAGCCCCTGGTACTACTGCCCCAGTGGACGATGATGCACCATTGGGCAACCACGTCAATTCCCGGTCTGGTGAGAATGATATGATTCCTCGAATCGATCAGGATGACGAGCTTGGCCAACCTGCCGGGCCCAAGCCGTTGCATCATCAACTTGATGGGCAGGACGAACGAGAAGGGAACATCGAGATGGCCACACTGTCTTCGCATGCCCCTCAGCAGGACAACCTACAGGAGCTAGAACGGGTAAAGCCCGCGCCTGAATCGGCTACAGAAATTGAACCAGGCACACGTCCGGAGTCCCCCACGAAAAGAAAAGTGGCTTTCCGAGACCTCCAAATAGATTTGCCAACATTGGAAGGAGTCCACCCCGTGGATTGTAACCGAGCCGAGTTCCGGATCGCCCACTCCAGGGGCATCTAACGACATCCTACCTGCTAGATCGTCCCCACAATCATGCTGACTCGAGGCATGTTGCTCCAGGGTCTTCAACAACGGCTCTAGATGCATTGACGTGCCAGATCTGACTGACACCTTCATGTGGTGCAAGCTAGTCCTGGCATCGCTTGTCCCCAGGCTGCACGAAAACGATGCAAGGCACTACAACTCCTGAACGGTACAATTGGAAAGCTCCAGCTAGATACCCACATGGAAGGGATGGCTACAAAAACCGGTAGAGATGATAGAATCATCTCAGCAAACTTCCTAAAGGGGCCACAGCTAAAAGGCAACTGGTAGCTAGAGTCTGGCAATAGAAAGGCTCAACCTCGCCCTGTACCGGTACCGGTCTGCAAGTATCCTCTTCCAACCCGTCCCCAAAAACTTCTGCCCCTGGCTGCCTGGCTGAACTGCGGCACCTGAGCTGAGCTGGAGGAGGGGTAAGGCTGGTTCCCTGGGCTTGTGGACTCTCCCGACTAACCCGCCTCTCGATGAGATGGCGCTAAAAACTCATTCACAAACATCGGTCACTACTACGCGCTACTAAGTAAGGTTGTTTTGTGTTGAATGTTCGGTGTTGCAGCACTTGTGCAGATATTCTTCTACTAGGCCACATAGCAGAAGCGGAAACCACCAGCCTCCTCCTGCACGGGCGGCAAACCCCTGTCGCTGGCTCCCAAAACCAGCATGATCCCATTATACCATGCCGCCAAAGAAAGGAACCTTGGTTCCAAGACTGTCTCCCTGAAGGAGACAGACGGTGGTTGGCGGAGTCGAACCGCTATCATTAATGTGGAGAAACTGCAGCGGGCTTGGCAGCCAATTCCAATTCCGATCCAAGTTCCTGAAGTGTAGGTAACAGCTTTTCGCCGATGGCCTCTTCATAAACTTTTAAGGCTCTGGAAAACAGATTCCGCCAATAGTCGCGTGAAGATGCTAGGATCCCCACGATGGCCCATCTCAATTCCATGATTGAACAGATTGCTGAGTGTAGTTGGCAGGACTAAAACTGGATATCCGTGCTTGAGGAGAATCGGCTTCCATGAGCTCCGATGGCAACCTTTCTGTACTCCCCTGCCATGCCAACAGCTGTGTCGACCAGCAAGCCATTCATAAGCCAAGAATGAAGCTGTAGAACGAAAGTTTCACTCGATCTGATCGAGTGATTGCTGTCTTGGGGTACTCTGGAGAGTTCCTGGGAGGCCAGAATATGATTGGCAGCTTCTCGGATGTCCTTTTCGCAAGATGAGTTCAGGTAGAGTTGAGTCAGAGGACATTCGCCGTTATCTCGTCGAGGACACCAAGCAACGTGGATACTTACCTGTTCCGATCCGGGAACCCTTCGCAGATCACGATCAACTTTCTCTTCGCTGGATTCCAGGATGTGCTTCCAATCTTTCGTTTCAAGGATTTCTGTGAGCACGGACGTTTCGTCGAGGTTCAAGTCGTTTCCTTCGTGTGAGAGGGAGAAATGATTGAATTGTAAGAGAAGCTTCTCCTGAACGCTTCTGACTGTCGCCTTTTCAAGCGGGTGGTGCTTCTTCGGCTCTTTCACAGCTTCGTCAATGACGATGCAAAGGTCCTTAGTAGAAATTCCATGAGCCCGACTGACGAGGGTGTACTCGCCGGGTTCCAAGAGCGAAAAGTCCGGCGGATACAAAACGCTACTTTCTGTCTTTTTGATCCCAGCAAAATCTCGGTACAGAGAATGGTTGTGCGAGGTGTGAATGTCGTCCCAAAACTCATTGACAGTGTCAGAACATACAAGAGATTCATTGACAGTGTCAGAACATACAAGAGATTCTTTGCCCTGGTGTAGCCGGACGGTGCATTTGAATGGCTTTGCACTTTGCTTGAGGTCGTATTCCTCCACTTGCTCCTTCCACGACTTCGACGATCGGTCGTCAGGCGACCGAAGAGGGCAACGAATGGGGAGATGTTCGCCTCCACACTGGCGACAGCGGACTCGCGGGGTTGCCTTTCTTGGTGGTGTGATTAAGTCGCTCATTGCAGCAAACTCCATTTGGTTTCAATGTTGTGTTTCGTTGTGTTTCTCTTCGTCTCTCGTGTTTTGTGTTGCTTCATCATTTGGGGTTTTTTCGGCGGGTTTCGCTTGCCTGTGAGTGAGGGTGTAGGACTTTGGAAGTTTATGAGCGTTTTTGTGTCGCCGATCGTGTGGTTGGATTACACAAGGCCAAATGTTTGGGTTACACAGGGCTAAACGAATTACTGGGCGCTTTCAGAAAGGTGGTTGATTTGTTTGGCACCCGAATAGAACTCACTGGGCATATTTAAATTTAACCGCCCAACGCACCTCAACTGAACAGGAACCCGGAAATCCAAATCGATTGCCTACCCTCGTTGCCTTACGGTGGAGGCATCAGATTTGAGAGAAATTTAATTATGATCATCCAGATTACTTAAGGGCCCATGTGATGTCGTGATCACAGCAAAGCATCTGTCAAACCAGTTGCCACAATTTTCCCAAATTCCAGGCTGACAAAATTTTGCGCATGATGCAAGCTCTTCTGGTTTTGGCAGATCAAAGCAGCTGCTGGAGACTAAACACCAATCATGTTGGTCTATGTGAGATTCAGAACTGGCAATGCTGATGATTTCGTGCATCACTGCTCTCGTCCATTAACTCTGTTTTGCAATCTGCTCGTAATCGGATGTTCTTCCGACACTGTCTGCCGCTGTCTGCCAACAGAGATCGTATCTTTGGATCCTTTTTGGATCTTGGAACAAGGATCTACTTATCATTTCTGAGCTATTTCTGGGCCCAATCAGTTCCACTCACATTCCTGTCAAGATGCAAGCAGAGAAGCCTTCAACCAAAGAGAAGAAAAAATCCAAGGGCGATCCTCGCCAAATGGAAGCAGCCGCTGGTGCTGGAGTGCCCCCACCCAACACCAACCGTCGTGCAGCTGCTGCTGGATACCTCGCAGCTGGTGCTGGTCATTCTTCTTTTGGAAGTGGTACCACAGGTAAAGCATGGGTCCCAGTCGCTTCTTCTTTCTGTACTGCTAACAACGTTGTCCAATCCGAGCAACGCAAACAGCAGCAGGCAGTGAAGAAATACGTTGAAGAAGAGGAAAAGAAGAAAAAGGAAGCCGCTGGAACGATGATTTGCGACTTGAGGACACCTCCCAGCAATGTAAGCAACTTGTACGCTGTAGGATCTAATCCCCCACCTGCCCCTTCCATTGCTCGTAAACCTTTGCCTTTCGGTGGTTACTACAATATGGAGTATGAGCCAGCTCTGTACGGAATCAATGCTGTACCCTCGATTCTTTCTGCTACTGGTCATCGCTCTGGTCGTGCCAGTGCTCCGCCATCCCTTCCTTCCCCTGAACAGCAACGTCGTCAGGGATTGATGCAGCCAAGCAAGGACTTGGCTGTTTCAATCAAGAAGGAGCAGACTGTTAAGCCCAACAAGAAGAAGTCTGGCAAAAGCAAACTCGGCGCCAGTGCTTGGTTTACGGAGGAGGAACGAAACGATCTTTTTGACGAGATTAAGAAAGCCCTACCTATTGGAAAGCTTGAATGGGAAAAGGTTGGCGAGGCTTACAACAAGAAGAATGCTGACCGCCCCCGTGAGATGCCTAATCTCAGAGCTCAATTCAATAAGTATGCTTTGGCCAAGCCACCTACTGGTGATCCTGACTGCCCACCCTTGGTTCGTGAAGCCAAACAGATTGCTCGAATGATTAAAGAGAAAGCTGGGATGGACAATATGGCAGAGAATGGTGATCCATTCAATCAACCTTACTCTAGTCATGACACTACTCCCACGGACACATCCAAGAGTCAGACGAAAGCTGTGAAGAAAAAGGCAAAGCAAGCGTCGTGCAGATGAATGTGACCGTGCTCGCGAGGACCGAATGCAGCTTGCTACCATTCTAGCAACCACAGTGACAGCTATTGCCACTGCTGTCACCGGTCGTTCAGTTGAAGTTCCCGTTCCACTGATCTCCAATTCTGCGAGTGCTCCTGCTGCAGGTGTTGACAGTCCCTTGACCCATGAATCGGCCAATAAGTTGCGAGGAGAAGATATCGATTGGGGTAGCTTGAAGCTAACCAGCAGTGACAGCGATGACACCTCTTATGATCGCCGTATGTCTTTCAAACGTCGTCTTCGCCGTAAGCAGAAGAAAGATCAAAAGAAGAAGCTCAAGCTTGAACAGAGGAAGAAGAAATCGAAGCCCAGCAAAAAGCTCAAGATTCCCCCCTTTTCTCAGCCAAGCCAAGAGCTTGTGGATAGTTCTGGTGATGACATGAAGGAACTTGATCCTTTGGAGTACTATGGTCGCAAGGCTAAGGAAGAAGAAGAGGATCAGCAAAAGCAACAGGATATCGACAACCTCGAGTACAGTGAGGATGACGACAAGAAAGAAAACAAGAAGCCCCCTGTCATTTGAAGGGGTGCAATTGCCTCGAGGTAAAGAGGAGAACGATCGTCCAAAAGAAGAACAACAGAAGAGAACAGAACAGCAAGCCAACCAACGAAACAGCAATAAAGAATAAGAAACAAATAGTGACACTGTGACAGAAACTAGCACAATTTTAGAAAGCTGCTCGATCTATGGGTGTTCCACTATGAAACAGCGAGCATCAACACTCCAGTGGGGTACGTATGTATTCTGCAGTTGATTCAAGCCGACAAGAGTGATTCTTGCATTGTATAAGCACGTCATAAGCTTCAGAATAATAAGGCGTTCCCCATTCTCTTCCAAATGAATTCGATCTTTGAGACGAGGGAATGCTCCTTGCAGTGCTCTCATACCCCACTCGGCTGCCTGCCTAAGAGATGTTGCTTGGTCGCGCACAATTATTTCTTCTGCCGACTCAGCTGTGGAGAAGTTCTCGGACGATTTGACAAGGAAAGGGTTGTTGGCTGCTGTAAAAGCTGAATCGACACAGCAAACACCACCAGTACGATTGTAGATTGCTTCCAATAGTTCATAAGTGCCACCATAAGATGCCAGTGTAGAGTCATGCATGGATCCAGGAGCGTTGAGAATACAGTGAATGATGTAGCCATCAATAGAGAAGACAAACAGGTTGGTGATATAGTGGTCATGTGTCCAGCCGTTGTAGTACATCGACTGCTCATCCAGGTCATCGTGTCTCTCGAACAACAGCTTAAGCCCATCTGCAACACAGTACACATTGACCAAAGCCGGATGCCTTTGGTTGACCGCTGCCTTCAAACGTTCGATCTTCTCATCGGTAGGAATGGCAACTCGCCCCCAATGATGATTCTGCAGTAAGAGCAGCAAGCCTCGCCTTCCAAACCTCAACCAAACACTTGTGTGAGTACTGGTAAAGCCAAACCAGCCCTGAAGGGTGAACAGAGCACCTCGAAAACGGTACCAAGTGAGGACAAGAGCTAAGCACGAGCTGGCATTAATAATCCGATTTCGACCTGTGTTGAATCGACGTTTTTTCAGCTTCTTGCAGGTTGTTCCATCTTGCTTTCCAGTCCAAGGAGTATGAGTGTTAAACCAAGGAGTGAACAGCTCCAACAAAGCTCTGAATGCTCTATTATCATAGCCGGTGATGGTTATCATGGCTTGGTCGCTACCAGAATGATAGACAGCTTCCCATGGCGACGCATTTGGGCTCAACAAAGCTGACCTCGGCAGCACTCTCTGCCTCCTACTGCGACCCTCATCATCCAGATTTTGTCTAAAGCTGCTGTTTTGAAGCATCAAACTGGCCGCAGCCATCATCATCCGCCGTTGATGGACCCAGTATTGGTCGCCCTCCATGGCCAGCAAATTTTATGGGGTGACCTTGCAAAAGTTGCGCTTTCTGACCAAATGTTTTGCTGGGTTGGGTTGTATCATTTTTCAGTACTTGAGTAAGTACATTTGACCACACAGTCCAAATAATCCATCTGTGCCGCCATCTGCTTTCTGAGAAGCCGAAGAGGTTCGCTGGATGGATAGGTGGTGCGATTTTTTTTATTTATGGACGACCGTTATGAGTTCTACTCGGGTGCCAAACAAATCAACAACCTTTCTGAAAGCCCCCACTTACGGTATGCGTCACTTGAGCTTCAGCAGTCCAAAAGGACGGGCGTCTGGCGCTCAGCGGTCGTTCCATTCCCTGTCCACTGTCCACTCGCGATCGGAACTGAGGCGTCTTTTACTCGAGTACCTTTTACCGTCACGGGACATTTTACAGTAATTGAGTTCAGTCATCCTTGTGTCGACCGAAGAAGCCTTATGGGTTACGGGAATTAAGGAGAGTCATTAATGTAAACAATGTAATCTGAAGGGTACTTTTCAATTAATTGGAGTAAAGCTGACCTTTTACGAGTACATGTACCGGTATAGTTCCTGGTGATGTCTGTGGTCTGTGGTCTGTGGTTATCAATAATAATTAATAAAAGTAAGCCCGGAACCATTTACCGGTACTGTAGCATTATGACTCAGGAGAAGTGCCCAGCAACCAAAAAGTTGTGCCATCGTACTACGGTACTTCCGGTACTTTATAAGTTTAAAAGTAGTATATAGCTAGCTAGTACCTGGTACTGCCCCCCAGCTTCCAGAACAACAGCACCATCCAACACACAAACAGCAAAATTCATCACGGCATGGGATAGTGCCACCAACAAACAATTGAGTGAGAGGTGATAGCTGAGGTCCCTTTGCTAATCAAACCCCTGTAGGGTTGGGCAAGCACCATGGTGGAGGCGAGTGGGTTCACCCTAGCACAGGAAAAGGCTCTGGCAATCTGCCCCAAGATATCCAGTTCCATTAGCATCCCGTGTTCGCTGTCTATTATCTATGAGGTCCTCTATCTCAAAAGAACAAGAGGAACCACGCCAGTGCAAAGAGCTTTGATGGCCATGAGCTGTGTGGATATTCTCGCATCATTTGGTTGGTTTCTGTCCACATGGGCTGTGCCAGAGGGGTCCTTTGTGTACTCGAAAGGCAATAAAGCATCCTGCAACTTCCAAGGGTTCCTGCTTCAACTCGCCATTGGGGCACCACTCTACAACTCCTCCCTGGCAATATTCTACTTGCTCATGATCAAGAGGAGGTGGACAGATGACCAACTCAAGAGCATTGAGAGAGCTGTGCATGGGGCAATACTGTCCTTTACGGTTGGCACGTCTATATTGCTTCTGTGTTTGGGACAGTACAATCATGTGGGTGCAGTATGCTGGGTCATCGGTGATCCACCAGACTGTGGAAATAGCAGTTTTCAAGGCAGTGATATTCCTTGTGATCGCGGGGACTATGCCTATGCATGGGGCCTTGCTCTGTTCTATGGGCCTCTTTGGTTCTGTGTGATATGCTGCTGCAGTTCCATGGCTGTTTTGTGGCTAGAAGTCAGAAAGACACACCGCAAATCCAGAAGGTATTCTTCTGCCATTATGGGAATGCAACATTCAACCAACCGAAGTGGACAAGACGAGAAAAAAGTGGCAGTTCAAGCAATACTTTACTCTCTGACATTCGTGATCACCTGGATGCCATCTACTCTCTGGTCCGTTGCCCATTGGTTCAATTGGAAACATTATATTCTGGATATATCTGCTGCAACCGCAGAGCCGCTCCAAGGATTGTGGAATTTTCTCATTTTCCTAAAGAGCCGACCTGAAACCGTGGATCGAATCAGGACTCTCCTGTCGAAAATATTCCCATGTTGTTGTACCGAACCACCTACGAGAAAAAATAACACGAGACCCCCAAGCGACTTGAGCTACAGTTTTGCCACTGGCCTCAAGAAGCGCTTCAGTGTATTGAACAATCTATCCGACTTGGATGGGGGCGGCGTTGGCGGAAGTCCTGAGAGTGAAGCGGCAGATTTTCAAGGGGGGTTCACCGCCAGCCTGTTTGGGAGCAGCAAGAAGAGCGGGGAAAGATCTGCCGACGTTTTCCCGGCGGAAGTAATGGCCGATCTTGACATGTCTGCCAGTACTCTCGGGGGTTCCATAGGTGTTGCAAGTTTCCTCAACGATGACGACGACGACCAGGAGAAGGAGGTCAAACCGCCCGTGCCCAGCCAGATTCTAGGAGCGAACGATAGCGCGACCAGCTTTGCAAGTGAAAACTTGTTTCTTCCTCCAACTCAGGTACGCGATGAAGACGGCGACAGCAGTAGCAGCGATTCTACTGGAAGCGATACCGAAGACAGCGAATCGTCGTCATCTGGAAGCGAGAGTACCAGCTGCAATGGAAGTGGACTTTACGTCGAGGGCGACAAAAGTGACGACGGGATGCAGATCGGCAAATCAACAGATGTTTTCGATGACGAAGGTGGCAGTAGTAGTATTAGCTGCTGTAGCAAAAGCGGTGAAGGGTTGAATACCCGCGCGGCAGAAACCGAAACTTCCAGCGCAATAGAGAGCCATCGGGAAATACAAGATTTGGTGACGAATCATTGTCCCGAGCAGCTTGGCAACTTGGGTGCCATGCTGAAGCAATTCAAGGGGAGGGAAGACCAACTGATTGAAAGGTTGAAGAACATGCAGGACGAGAGTTCGGCAGTAGACACAGAGTGCGAGTCGTTGTCAGAGAGGGGCGTTCCCTACCGTGTGAGGGTTTTACCAAAACAATCATCAGCAGGCTCCCAGGTACAAATGTTCGCTAACGACTTGAACGAAACGGAGAAGGACTATTTCTATTTCACTTGATCAAGCGACTCAATCCGCATTCGAATTGCCAGCTGTTGCGGTTCCTTTGCTGCAGGTTCTAATTCTCCTGGGAAAGAAGACGAATCGACGAGAGCACGAGCCACCCTCTTCATTACGACGAGCTTCGTAAACCAGACTTAATAACGAAGCTCCGTGCTGCGTATCATGGAGGTGCTCATTTCGTCCAAGCAAGAAACGACGATTTCGCCAGCCCTTTACGCAGTCGCGTCCTTCCTTAGCTTCTCCTCTTCGAGCAAGCTTTCAAACCAGACAGAGCACGACTGTTTGGGTCTCTTCCCACTCGTTTCCTTCTCCTTGCTCCTTGAATCTTTTACCGGCAGTCGGTTGAGCTTCCAAAATTCCTTTGCAACCGAAACCAGATCGTCCATCGCCATTTGAACCGCGGAGCATATCCTGCCTCGCAATCCTCGAGGCCGTGTTTCTTCTTTTGGTACACGACTCTCCTGTAACTGCACGCTCCTAGCTTGCACCTGCTCCCGGAAACGTACTGCCATAAGTGCAAGTCCGCCAAATAGATGTCCACCAAGATGCGCGCCATGAAGTACATTTGTACCCTTCGTTGGGAATAGATCGCTCCATACGGATTCCACCCAAATCATCCACGCATGAATCTTAATCTCCTCCTGTCCCCACACACTTATCGCAAGCATGCGGTCCCTTGGGTTTTTCAGGCAAGAGAATGTCTGTAAGGCAGATATTCCTCCAGAGGCACCAAGACAATGCCGTGTTATTCTAATCGTCCAGCGCCAGAACTTCAGCTCCTTGGGAAAATACTTGTGTTTGTAGATGAAGTGGCTATATAGCTGCGATGCGTAGAGTGAGGCAATGAAGAAGTAAGAATAAGAACGCGGACCCATATCTCTGGATTGTTTAGGACCAAACAATCCAAGACATATCATGTTCGAGGCAAGGTGATCGAAATCCATGTGGGAAAAACTTGAAAGTAGCAGTGTGTGAAACTTCTGTTGCTTGAAATCATCACTCGAGAAGACGAAGTTCTTCAACATGCGTTTGAATATTTTTGATTGTTCTCCCTGAGCTTTGGCAACCTGCCAGGTGGCATACACTGCCACATTGGCCGCTGCGATTGCCGCATTTGGATTTAGATCCAGTTTTGTTGCAGTCACAGCAATTGCTTCAGCTGCCAACAATCCTTGTAAACCACCTACAACAGACCCCATGGCAACTTCTTGCCCTGTGGGTGGTGGCAAGATGGGGTCGGGTTGTTGCACTTCCGGTGCCCTCAAGACTGATAGGAATTTGCGTCTTGGCGGAGCTGCTGCACCCCCAGCCACAGCAACACTACAGCGGAACCTCAGTGAGGACAACAACGCTGCAAATGCAGCTACGAAGCGGATCATTTTGTTTGGAGCTGGCTGATAAGCAGAAGTGCAACTAGCTACTTTCTTGGTTGATAGAGCATCAACTAGGATAAAAGGCATTCTCTTCAGGTTTTGGGGGTATATCATCAGGGGCAAGACAACTTTGAATGTTTACCGGTAAAACGTGGAAGCTCAACGTGGGAAGTTGTCGAGTAGGTGCGCACGCCATTTTGCCTTTGGAGTGAAGGGTCTACAACAGGGAAGTTATATACAGTACGGAAGCCAGGGCGGGGGGCTTAGGCAAAGAAGAGGCGGCTTTAGTTAGGTACCACCAGAACGACAGGTTGCAAGAAGACAAGTGGCGAAATCAGTGATCGTCATCTACTACTATGATAGAAGGAGTTTAACAAATTGCTAATGGTACATTTTAAAATGAAGAGCCTGTGTGGAAGTTGCCAGCATCACGAGTGCCTGTGTGAAGTTGCCAGTGTGTACATCCGAAGAAGTTGTTTAACCAGAGATGTCTTGCTGTTGGGGAGGGCGTTCGACGGTGGTTACCGTCTGGAGTCAAACCCGTACCGTACCCGGATCATTCAGATCCTTCCGTGTAGCTGCTTGTGTTTGTGAAGTTCCGGAAGCTTCCTTCTTTCACTAGCTACAAGGCAGGCAACAGGATGTCATCAGGCATGCCCAATTGATCAAAGTCAACCAGTGCGCATCTACGCGGCAGCGGTGGTGGACTGGTCGGTAGTGGAAGCTGTTCCTGCCTTGGTGTGAGATACTTGTAATCCGGGGGAAGCGCCTTGGAGACGTCTTGGCCAGTCGATGTGCTTCTTCTGGCGTTGGAGATACCTTGATGCGATTGCCGCAGGAATACTTCCACAAGAGACATGGTTGGTCCAGCTTGCTTGGAAGGATGGGCAAAGTCGACTGGCACGAATGCTGCCTTCATGTTGTTCTGCTCGCAATAAGGATGCGAGTGATTGTCTTGTTCCAGCATCGTGTCTCTTCTTGGTTTGAGCTTGTAGTGGTGGCTTTCAGGGTCTCTATTATCTGCGAGGATGGGCCAAAGGATTGCATCATTCTTGTCAGGGCGTGCCATGGTCATGCTTGTTTCTTTGCTTGTTTGTTGCGTTGCGTTGTGGTTGAAAGGCCAAATTTGTGCTGGAATCGCCAAGGCGAGAAAGAAATGAAAAATGACAAGAGCTACTCGCTTTCGCGGGCACGAATGAGAGCACCCAATCGTACATTTTAGTTCCGGGAAGCTAGCTACCGTGTGGCTTCATTAGGGTAGCTGCGGAAGGAAGGGTGGCGAATCGTGTCACTTATACGACCTTACGAGTCAGAGTCAAGTCAGTCCTTGGATCTTTGATCGTTGGCACCATGAGAGATGGGGAACCCACGCGAACTTGTTCTGCTGGTGTCCTCGGTGCTCGGGACAAGTCCAAATCCAAGCGTTGTAAAAGCCATCTTTGATTTGATCACTCCGAAGGATCTCAAGCCAGCAAGGGGATCGTGCATATCTTTTGCGATTTCCACCCGGGAGGTGCAGAGGCCCGCGCGCAGCTTTGTCCAACAATGACAAAGATCCGTTGCAAGTGCAAGGGAGGTTTCAAAGGGAGTTGCCCAGAAACATACAAGAGGTGCCGATCGGAGTTGCTGCTACATGTACCGGTACTAGCGCGATTGATTAGGTATGCAGACCGTACAGTCGTATTGCATACATCCCAGGTACCGGTACCTACCGGTAGTTTCAAAGGTTTTGGTGTTGCTACTCGATTACATGTACCGGTCCTGGTAACTTCCGTACCAGTGCGGTTGCAGCGGCGACTTTCAGGTCCGGGTGATAACAAGCGTGCCAGTATCCTGGGGATACTTATCTTCATCCGATACCGGATACTGGTGCTAGTATCAACGCGTCTCTTGCACATTAGCTAGCTAGGTGATGCATTGGCAAGCAGTTCTCCGTTGGGGTACGGCCGTAGAAAAGGCTGGATCTCTCCCTGAAAGACAGCGCTGAAACCTGAAACCCAACCAGCAGGTCAGCGAGCAGTCCTACCATGCAATAAGCAGACTGCTCATGCATATCTGTGCTCTCTCCAGCAACGGTCGGCTACAACTGCGTTTCAATGTAGGAGACTTTCGCAACATCTGTGGATGGGTTCCAACCGCACCAAGGCATGTACCGTTTCAACTCGTCCTGGGGCGAGGTTCACTGTGCATTTAGAAACAGGGGTTGTTTGGTGCCAGATGACAGCAAGACAATGGGAACCCAGCCCGTAAAGGTCTCCTTACATAATGGCATCACAGACAGATAGATTGTATTGTGGCATCCACTTTGTGCATTGCATTGGCATTGGCACTGACAGCCACATGAGCAGGTTCCTTCTTGTTATGGTGCGACGTGCAAAAGGCATGCACCCAGAATGCAATCGACTTGTCCCTCCAAGCAATCGGATTTGGTTGTTTGGGTGCTGATGGAGGTGCCTTGTGGGGTCCTCGTTGCATCATCACTGATGCATCACCACCATTCTGGATTGTCTCGTCTATCGTAGACACTGTTCTCCACTGTCTTTTCGTGCTGCTTTTGTAGCTGTTGTTTCAATTCTTGTGGTCTCCTCGTGTTCCACCTTTTGCTAGTATCCTTCTTTGACACGAATCCTCGTCGTCTAGTGGGAAACGCGTGACCCCACAGGGCCTCGGTGTGTGTCGTTGTTGGGTCGCTGGGCAGTGCTCGCCCCAAGGCTCCAAAGTCTAGGCAAACAACCTCTAAAACCTAACAGTATTAATAATATGCATCACTTATGTAACAAGGCACATCATCGTGCCGGGAATTGCCGTGCCCACACCTCAAGCTTCCATTGTCATGTATTCCTCGTCCTCTTCCGCGCTACGGTCTTTCTTAGGGGACGCCTGGGAGTCGGACTGGTGCGAAGCCGAGAGGAGCGAACCGGATTGGCGGGACGGATCACTCAAGTCGGTGGACCTCCAAGTTTCGTCCGGCATCGCTACTTGCTTCATTTGATCGACACTGTTTTGTTGCGTCCACACATCATCATCGTCCACAGAGCCAATGCTGCTGGCACGCTTCATTCCTTCGGCAGCGTCCTCCTCAAGCTCCACCGCCGACCACCCTGTCACGGCCCGCTCTTGATCGTCGCCGTCAAGGATATCCACATTCTCACTGAAGTTGACGCTGCGTCCCTCTTTCTTCTTCTTGGCTGCTGGTTGGGGAGCGGCGGGCTGGTTGCTGGCACGACGGGCCACCACGCGGTGCTCTTGTTGGGTTTGAATGATGCGGGGAACGACAAAGGCCGCCGAACTAAACACGGTGGAGGCAAAGATGCCGATGGTGGAGAGGATGATCTCGCCCGTCTTGTCAATATCCATGGCGTACCGCATCACCGAAACGACCAGTCCGATAAAGGCAATGTTGTAAATACAGAACAAAAGCTCCTTGGACTGACCGAACCCAGAGTCCATGTTCCTCGTGATGAAGGCCAAGACGCAACCAATCACGACAAGACCAGCTTCGTACCCCAAAACCGCATAATCGAATGCTTCCGATTTGCTCGCGCATTCCACGCGCTGTGTCACTGCGCTGTCTTCCACCAAGATAATGTCCTGTGGTTGAGGAGGATCCACAATGGTAAAGACCGTCAGAATGATAACCTGAATCAACACCACTGGAAGAGTCATGGCGACCGCCTGAGGATTGGAGATGATGGAAGGGTTGCGGTGGGCGGTTCCCACCAATCGGTACATTCGGTAGGTCTTGACAAAAAGAGGCGACATGGTCACGGCAAAGAGTAGATGGAAGGTCCACATGCGTGCCAGACACGTCCCTGACGTGTTCTCACCTAGGAAGGTGTAACTGCTCAGATTGAGCAGAGCACAGCCCAACAAAAAGGCCGACGTGAATCTCCAATCCGTCAAAATGACGGCCCGATGATGGCGCTTGAAATAAAAGGAAACAAACATGAGCAGGCAGAGGAAAAAGCCGAGCCCCGCAATGACACAGACCAGACCAAACAAGGCGTCTTCCACAGTCAAGGCGTCATTGTCAGCTCGTTCAATGGGACTAATGACCAAAATGATCCATTGCAAATCATCGTCACCACTGACATCATAGAACGAAGATTGCGACACATAGGCAGGAGTGCCCGCAGCGGCATCCTCGGATAATTTGGTGGGCACCAAGTTGCGGGGGTGATTTTGTTCCACTTGGTGGATGTAGGACGTGTGCAAAATGTCGTCCATGGGATGCCCCGCCAGTTCGGCCATGGTGACACGTCGGACTTCACATGGAGTCCTGTCGCTGGCGTCGTCGGGGCATTGTTGAGTGGGGTCTTCTGTCAGCACCTTGCTTGTGGCAGCGCGTCCGGTGGAGGAAGCGACCATGAAGTGGGGGTATTTGGCTTCGTAAATGACGACGTAGGTTTCTTCTTCCGTAGTGGCGTTTTGTCCGTAGGAAGTTTGCAAGAACCTTCCAATGTCGGCAAAGGTATAATCCACGGCAAAGACACCCCGGAAGATTTGTTGACGGGTCCGTTCATCGACTGTATAAAAGGGGGCGCTGTAGGTGATGCCCAGATCCAGATTGGAAAAGAAGGTGTACGGGTCGGCCCAGTTGGGTTTTTGGACCGCTTTGGTTCGCTTGTACCACGTCCGGTAACGAGGATCGTAATCACGTGATCGAAAGCCACCGACAAAGACATTGTCACAGACTTCTCCATTGTTGCCACAATAGACGTAATCACCGGGCAAGGATCGATTGACCAAGGTCGCCTTGTCCCCGTACAGGCAATTTCCGAGTTCTCCATTGTCTCGTAGAATGGCTCCCGGTTGTTGACTAAACACTCCCGTGGGTGTATGACAATGATACGTCCGCGGCACGTAGCCCATGCTGGGTGCGTCTTCCACCATGGCTTGTTTGATTTCGTACTTGGGGCACCGAATTTGTTGGCGGGTACAAAGGATATCATCCTCGGAACAGGTCTCTGGTCCCCCACAAATTTCCAGCGCGCAGCCATCAATGCAAGCCACATACTCGGCCTCGGCGGCAATGGTGCAATTCTCCTCTTCCCCCGTGTTGCGATTGACACACGCCTTGTAATACTTGAGCATATCGGGTTCTTGGTCAATGAGGTATCCACTGTTGACGGGTTCGCGGTAGGTTCCCCAAACTTCGGAATTGAATCCGACAAAAATACCATCTTCTGTTCCATAATAGATCATGTCAAAGCCATACTCGTTCAACAAACTGTACGCGAGCGTGGCAAAGGAATCGCGGTCTCGCACATCCAAGTCGTGGGGAAAGGCCCCGTTTTTACGGAAGCGCTCCAGCAAACTCGTTACCACCATGGGGCCTGACATGAAATCCGACACTCGCTCTACCACACGTCGTTCGACTTCATAGTTGAAAAAGGCGCCACATGGAAACAAGAGGCAAAGAAGCAACACCCACCGGAAGAGGCAGATGGGTATCATGGTTGTTGATTGTTAATATTCGGTTGTTTGTCGTTGGGGTATCTCTGGGTAGCTTTTTGGTTGGGTGGGCTTCTGAGGAAAGATATTCAGGCAAGCACTGATCGCTTGGGATCAGACTGCAACAACATCAAATAATAATGAAGTGAAATGACGACTCTTCTTCCCTGTCAAGAGCGAGATACAGCGAGGTCAAGGGGTTTGGGAGGGTAGCCAAAACCACAATGGTGTGAGATGCAAAATGAGACGGTAAATACCAGACCACACTGCACACGGTACGCGGTACACTTGTACATGTAGCGGTACCAATACTGGTTCTTTCAACTTTCAACAGATGAGACACGATTGAGAACCGAAAGTGAACGTTCTGCTAAATCTCTTTTGCATGGTGTGGTTATGTGACATTCATAATAGATACATAATAAACTTATTATTAAGATATCAAACGGTGCCTTACTACAACAAGCAATTTTAAAAATTGTGTAGTAGCTCTATCATACGATAATAAATGTAAGCTTAGTTAGTTCGAGGTGTGGGCCCTACTAGTCTACTTGTGTAGAGGTGCGGGTTTTCTGCCGCCGAGGCGCGAAGGTGCGAACCCCTGAGATGAGGTGCGACACCCCAGAGGTGCAGACTTTTTGCCGTGAGGAGCGGACCACAGAGGTGCGGATTTTTGCAACCGAGGTGCGGCCATAGAGGTGCACTTACACAAGCTTTCAAAGGAGGAGCCAAATTATCGCATCCAGTACGCTCCAAGCAACTTGCGAGTCTTTGCTTTCCAACTGAGTAAAAGAATGCCAATAAGCCCAGTGGTATCAGGTCCAACTCATTGGGATGGATTTCGACTGGGTCCGTCTAGTATGGTACCAGAAGCAGCCCTCTTTGAAAGGCTGCACCCATACATGTATGTAGTACTGGTGCCGGTACCGGTAAGGTTCTGCAAGGATGAAGCTCAATATTGATCCTGAGCGGAATCTAATAGTCAAGGTATAAAGCCAAAACGCTTCGTTGATTGTACCGGCGTCTTTGTGTCGTGGAATTGGACTGTGAAAAATCAGTGGGAAAAAGCAAGTCTGGAAGTTGCTTGGGTGCAGAATGGTGTCAGAATCGTCAGCACCATTTATGGTTCAGTTGACGGATCCTAAAATGAAATTTTGGATCTTTGTTTCCACGTTCCACAACACAACAAACGGACTGAGGTACTGCTGCATACTACCGGTAGTACTGTACGGTACGTATCACAGAACAGACCGGTAGTGCACACTGGTATTCAAGCAACCAGGACAGCTTCGGGTCTGGATTCAGAGGCGGACATGGAGCTGCCACTATCGAGAAGCTGGCAGTGGTGGCTCGGGCAGTGTTATTAGTTGTTAGTTAGTTGTCTACAAGCAATCGGCAGAGTCCCGTGGTCTGCCCTTGATGTTACCAAGACCGTGATCTGCCCTTGCACAATCAACGACAGAAATTGCAAGTAACAGGTACACCTCCATAGATAATTGATACAAAACAATAGCGGTACCATGAGCACTCTGTTACTCCGCGACGATCCCAACGGCGATATTGAATTCAACAAGGACGGCACTACTTTGACGAAAGAACAGCGCGCGGCACGAGCCAAGCGCAAGGGTACATGTTGGCGTTGCAACATCAAGACCCATAAAGTCAATGTGGTCGGCAAACGCATTCCACTGACCGACCCTGATGTTTATGAAGGACACTGCATTCGCTGTGACCCGGATGACGTCCCGTACGATGTTTGTGTCGAATGGGAGCAGAACAATCCCGACAAGGCGGGCTTGGCTCGACGAACTAGTCTCCATCCACAGCGAGGAGCCCATCGAGAATCCATAAAACAAGTGCCAGGATTACAGCATGCGGACAGTACTACTACGAATACGCCTCCAGCATCGCTTCGAAAGAGACTGGAAGAGGGCGAAAAGGCATACCCCGAAGGACATTGTCTTACTTGTGGCACCCAGACGCATGAACGAAAAAAGAGCCGTCGAACGTCCTTTCTCAAGGGCGCCATTAAAAAGAAGGACAAGGAGGATTCCGTCACTCTCGTCCCATTGACTGTGGACGGTGCTGTCTGCGAAGGAAAGTGTCTTCGCTGTCATCCTTTGTTGAAGGACAGTGGAAACAAGGCCAGCCCAGAGGCAGAATCGGCCAGTGGACCTCAGCCCAAGGAAGCGCCAGCTACAAACGAAGAGGAACATGACAAATCAGAACAAGCCAACGAAACGGACGAACATGCAGCTCCGCCTCAGACTAGTTCCAACAGTTCCACCAACCCGCGAGACCAGCAGCAGGAGAACACCAGCAAGATCGCGGCATCAGAGGCATTCCAGCCTGCATCGCAAGCCAATCGAGAGGATGAGCCACAACCACCTCCAGGAAACCAAACAGAGTCCCGGCCAATGAACGAACAGCAGCCGGGGCGCCCCACAAGCAACAATAGCAAACAGCAGCAGCCACCGCGTCGCGTACCTCGCGACCCGGATGCCCCTATTTTCGGGGAAACGAAGTCTTCCTCGGAAGAAGTGGGGAACGACAATGAACAGGAACTCAACGGAAGCAGGCGCGACTGGGATATCCAGGAAACTGATCTCGACGTGCCGTCTGGCCGCAATGATCCAAGTCCGGTGGCAGAAATCACCTTGGGGCCCGCCTTGAATAAGACGGATGGCCAACAACATGACAACATGGTTGTGGCCACTGCTGTCGTGTTGGTCCCTTCGTCCGAAGAGCAACAGCAGGCGCCGCTAGAGGTTCCGATAACCAGTGTGCAGACTCGTTCGGATGACCCCCCCGACGATGGAGGTGTAGACGCTGGCCCCAATCAAGCCCAGTGGCCGTTGCCATGGCCCCTCCATCGAAATGAGGAAGAGGGCGACGACATTGAGGATGACGACGTTTTCGATGAACATGATGTTCATCATCATCATGAGGATGATGCTTCCCGCCACTCAGAAGTGTCATCGCTGCATTTCTCGACGGCAGAAGGGGGGCCCCAGCGCAGTTTCATTCGGCAAAGGTCCGCCACTTCCTTTGGATTTCCCGAGGTAGTAAGAGACAGATCGGAGAGGGACATGGAGAATTCCATGGACAATAGTAGCCTCCAAAGAAGCGCCGAAAAGCTGGAAACTGCATCCAAAACGTTATCGGCGGTGGAAGGGTCGATGCTCTCCAACATGTCGGACAGCCAACAGCCAAGCACCTTCAATGGCAGCAGCCACAACATGCAAAACAGCCGAAGCGCCGCTTCTTCCTCCAACTCGCTCATGGCAGAAATGCTCCAATGTGGCAACCTGCTGGCGTGGATGCAGGACATTGTCGAGGAAGCCCGAAACTCTGCGGAGTTCCGAGCCGAAATGGCTGAAAAGGGGGGCATTGTAGCCATCATCTCGGCCATGAAAACCAACAAGACGGATGGTGACATTCAACGACAGGGCTGCTTGGCGCTGTACATGCTGGCCAAAGACCACGGAACCGCGATTGCCAAACAGGGCGGCGTTTACTGCCTCTTGTCCGCGATCAAACACCATGGCGAAAGCGATCCTCAGGTCCAAGAGTTTGCCACAGGGGCCTTGGTTTATGTCATGGTGAGCGACAGTTACAAAGCTGGCGTGGCCCGCAAGGGAGGAATTGGCTACATCCTTGCTGGGATGAGATCGAACATCAACTACCTGGCTGCCGAGCGGCAGTCATGTGCGGCTTTGTTACGGCTGTCCTCCCACAGGGATGGACTTGAAGCACTAACCAGCCCAAAGTCAAAGAGTGTCCAAACGATTGTGGAAACCATGAAGCGGCACTACGACGACCTATTGTTGCAACAGTATGCATGTGGTACATTGAAGAACATATCCATGAAAGAAACAACGAGATCAACAGTTGTCAAGGAAGGAGGAGTGAAGTCCATTGTGACAGCCATCAACCACCACATCAGCAGTGAACTATTGCAGCAACAGGCATGCTGGGCACTCTTTGAAATCTCATCCAGCCAAAATGTCGCTCCCGATGGTGCTATCGGGGCAGCCATCTCAGCCATGGAAGCACACAGGCAGAACTCTAATATTCAACAGCATTGCTGTGGTGTCTTGAGGAATCTGTCGGTGACCAAGCAAAACATCTATGCAGTTTCCAAAATGAAAGGCATACCAACAGTCTTGGACGCCATGGAAATTCACCTTGAAAATGCTGAGCTGCAACGCTCTGCCTGTGGGGCTCTCAAGCATTTGTCCATGAGCAGCACAAACGAGGCAGTCATTGCCAAGCAAGGCGGCATTCAGGGTATCATCCAAGTCATGAAAAGGCACAAGCATGATGGTACGGTGCAGCGAGAAGCATGTGGAGCCCTTCGAAACTTGTCCGTCAAAGATGAGAACAAAAACCTCATCGCGCAGCATGGTGGTGTGGTCTGCGTGTTGGTGGCCATGAAACTCTCCACAAACGACGCCAGTCTCCAGCAAAAGGCACTGGGTACTTTGTTTAATCTGTCAAGCAACGCAGAACTACGCCGGTCGATTCAAAGCTACGGTGGTGTGATCGCTGTCGTTGCCATCATGAAGCACCTACCAGGCGATGCGAAAGTTCAGCAGTGTGCATGTGGGACGTTGAAGAATCTGGCCGTCAGCGAGGAACTAAGGAAGCTCATAGCAGAGAACGGGGGCATCCCATGCATTCTGTCGGCCATGAAGAAACACAATGACGCCCAGCTACAGAACTATGCTTGCGGAGCACTGAAGAACCTTGCATCCAACGAGGACAATCGCCAACAGATCGTAAAGCAGAAAGGAACGATTGCTGTGATTTCGGCCATGAAGAATCATGCAGGGGATGCCTCTGTGCAGCAGGAAGGGTGCACAATGCTTCTAAGCCTTTCAAAGAACAGTGAAATTGCGCTGGCGATTGGGAAGCAAGGAGGAATCCATGCCATCCTCTCTGGTATGAGGACACACCAAAAGAATTCAAACGTACAAAGTGTTGCCTGCGCGGCTCTTTGGGGTCTCTCTACTTCTACTGCAAACCAAGCTATCATCGACAAACACCTTGGGATTCAGTTGATTATTGCTGGGATGAAAGGATGGGTCACGGTTGCCAGCGTGCAGCAGAAGGCAATGCTGGCTCTCACGAACATGGCTGCGAGCGAACAATACCGAACCATAATATCAAAGCATGGAGGTATCCCAGCCGCCATTGGTGCGATGAAAGGCCATGTGCGAGATGCCCATGTGCAGAAATATGGGTGCCGGTTCCTTGTCGCCATGCTGCAAAACATCAAATACAAACCGGAAGTGAGGAATGGCGCTTCGGCGGTGAGGGTTGCAATGGAGTATCATCCCAGCAACCCCGATATCAAAAAGTACGCCCACAAGGTCATTGCTATCATTTCATTCGACGACGAAACTGGAGTGAGCAGCAGCACACGATACCGAGAAATCACCTCGGTGGAGTGTTAGCTAATGGTACATTTGTAGCTGTAACAATAGATAGATCCACACTCTGTTTCTCTACACACCCCGCAACCCTGCGCCACTTCACATTGACTTTTTTCGTTCCTCTTCCAATGCGACCCGTGCCTTGATGGTTTCTTCGTCCGTGAGGGAATCCAGTCGTGACATTTCTTCGTCGCTAAGCGCAAAGCCGGTGACATCTCGATTCTGTCGCTGGTGCTCCAAACTAGAAGACATTGTCAGCACCACCAGGTTCTTTTGCAAGGACCACCGTATCATTACTTGCGCAGGCGTCACGTTGTGTGCTTTGGCAATGGCCTGGACCACGTCATTGTTTAACGCACCACCTCGGTGCATTGCCTTGCTAGCCGACACGATCATGTTGTGTTTTTGTTGAAAGTATTCCACATCTTCGGGTCGGTACAGGAAGGGTGACACCTCGAACTGATTGACCACGGGCGGCACTCGAATCCCACTTTGAACCAGTGTTTCGTACTCATCGATCGAAAAGTTGCTCAATCCAATGGCTTTGATCTTGCCTTGTTGTTGGAGTAATTCCAATTCCCGATAGGTCTCTATAAAATGATTGGGAACGGGCCAATGGACCAAGAACAAGTCCCAGTACCCCCCAAAGTCGAGTGCCTCGAGACTCTGGAGGACGCTCTCCCGTACTCGTCCTTCCTTTTGGGCATCGTTCCAGACTTTGCTGGCGAGGAAGAATTTGTCGCGTGGAATGCCACTTCTTTTGAGAACTCGTCCGACCGTGGCTTCATTGTTGTAGTAGGATGCTGTATCAAAGTGTCTGTATCCTGCTTGGATTGCATTGTTGAGTATTTCTTCTCCCTGAGAACTGTCAGGGACCTTGTAACATCCAAAGGCTAATTGTGGCATTCTAATGTTTCCAGCAGTATGGGGAAGTTTCAGTGTGGGTTCCAGCAAGGGAGTGGCGAGCTTGCCGGGATCTGGTACTTTTCCTTCTTTTCGCAATTGCTCCACCAGGAATCTTGCACTGGCGTGATATGGTATGTTTGGAATGATAGTGGTTAGGCATCTCTGGTGTTGGGAGTGGCATAGATTCTGTTCAGGACAGGTACTACTTACATGATAGCCTTGGAATCGGCCGACACTCGCCATACATCTTCGTAGGGAACGATGCGCAAGGTAATGACTTCTCCTTCTTCTCGCAATCCCGTGGTGCGATTTCTCATTTGGTCCAACTCTGCTTTCGTCACAAATTTTTCCAGGTACAGCAATCGCATGCGTTCGTCACATCCTCCCTGTGACATGGGAATTCCGTCGGCGCCGACCTTTTGCCCCTCGAATGCCAACTGTGACAAATCAATCAATTCGGATGGATCCTCAATGACAATTCCACATTCTTCTTCCATTTCCTTGACGGCCATGCCCTTGATGGTTTGCGTGTCATCGTCCATCATTCCAGCCGGTAATTCCAAACAATCGACTTGCGCAATCGGTATTCTATACATAATATATGTACAGACAGAAAGGCAAAGGCAAAGAGAGAGAATGAATAAATGAATGAACCCACATATCAAAAAGCAGGTTGCTTGTTTTCTTTCGCCTGTCTGTTTTTGTTGCTTACCTCGGCTGTTCGACCAGGAGCGAATGGACCGTGTCATCTTCGGTACAAAACAGAGCCACCAAAATGGCCACAGCATCTCCCCTCAAGAGACAAATTCCTGGCAAATTGGTGGTAGTGACATCCTCGGATGCCGCTTCTTGACTACTATTACTTGTTATTTGAAGCTTGCAATGGGACTTGATCTTGGCAAAGCCGACTCCCCTTGCTCCAAACATGTCGACCGATTGGAGTTCTACCGATTCAATCTGGATTTGTCGTTGTCCGGGTGACGATTTAGACGATTCGATGCGTTGGACCCAATTACGAAAGGGCTTGGATACCAGTGTCATGTTGGCTTGTTCGAGGCTGACTGCGGCACTCCACGTAACGGGAACCGATTGGCCTCGAAACGAAAAGGAGAGTTGTTCTTTGTCATTATCGTCGTTGCTCATGATGATTGATATAAATGAAGACTGCTCTCGTTCTATGCTCTTGGTGGCGGTGATTCCTCTTTCTGAGTCCTCTCACGGAGAGCAAGTGATGTGACCAAGCGAAGGCCAAAAAGATCCAAGATCTGTGAACCGGAATTCTGTTGTTGGGTTTTGGGATTTCGTCTGGAAGTGACCGAAACCATGGGAGAGCTCTTGTGCACCAATACGACACGGTACTGTACCATTTCAGCCCTGTTGGCTCATTTAAACCAGTATCTTCGCCACGTCACAACGATCTTTGGTGGAAGCTTGCAGCTTTTTTTCTCCCTTCTTTCTCTTTGATCTTGTGATGAGCATTGCAGACAACACGAAGAAGACAGTCGCAACAGTATCACAAATAAATTTGCCACAATGATCTCCAAACTCTTCTTCTTCTTTCTGCTCCTACTAGTAGGACTTCTAAAGGCAGTCTCCGCCCTGAACATTGTATTGCCAGGAGGCAGCGGTGCATTGGGTAAGGGCCTCGCTGCGAAATTGGGTCGTCACCACCAAGTTACCATTCTCTCTCGCAATGCCTTTCTGGCATCGGCACCCAATCGCGTTACCGAGGTTTTTGGCTGGGTCGGAAAATCCTTTTTGGGCAAACATCCACATGTCACCATTCGAGACTGGGATGGAGGTGATTTGCTCGATATTGTCGGTTGCGATTGGATGGGATGGCAACAAGACACACTCGCTACAGCCGATGTGGTGGTCAATTTGGTCGGCGGATACACCGAACAACGCACCATGGCGACCGAACGGATCGTGCGGGAATCCATTAGTGTCAATAATCGAAATGCACTGCAAGTTGTAGTCAGTCCGACGGAACAGGATTTTGCCAGGGTATCCTCCCCGGGTGCCATTACTGCCAAGAAGGAACGCGTCAGGCTCTGCGAATCCATGGTGGAAAGCAACTGTCTCAATTCCGTATGTGTACGGTTAGATGCCAATCGATTGGAGGAGAACTGTGAAAAACTCAAAACTATCATTGATGACTATGAAGCATCCTTGGCGAAACAACAACAATAGCAAGGCAACAACGTAAACATAAGTGAGGCATCCATGTTGACTGTTGACAGCTGCATGATGGAAACTAAGTCTGTAAAGAATCAGGAAAAGACAACTCTAGTGCAATCAATGCTCCGTGTTCCTTGTTTTATTGGCGCAAGCATGATACGGTAGCACTTGAGCATTATTTCTAGTTTGGTCTGTTTTCTCTTGCAGGAGAAGAATTCGTGTGAGGATTGAATAGCTAGCTCAACTGGAGCAATTTGGTGGCACTAATCGCATTCTCGGTTTCATCGGGCACGAGAGTGGTGACTTCTAGTACTATCCAGTCAGCAGTGCTTTTGGTTGTTATCTTTTTCATTCCCAAGCCAAACACCGGCTACGTTGGCGGGCATCCCTGCTTTGAAACGTCAAGCTACAGGCAGTCTTCCCGACGACTAGCTGGCTAGCTAGTCCAGAGTTTTAAAAACAATCCTTTGAAATCTCTAATGATTATATGAAGCTGGTTACATCTCTACAAAACGAACTGGCGCCCAGGAAGCTCCGCTTAAGAATTCATTGCTTCTTGTTCTGTCTCTGTAGCCGTGAGCTATCAGAGACCGAAACTGATTGTTGCTCATGATATACATCCAATGCAAGCTGGATCGCTGGTTGTTGTCTACAGTGTGCGCATCTTTTTAGAAAGCTATATGCTCGGAACTGACGAGCAAGATTGATGATTGTTGTCTTTTCTACAGGAGTGGCTCCTTGGCTTCTTATCCTAAACCAAACATGCTGGATCCACATCTTCTTCATCATCCATAAAGTCTCCCACACCTCTGAAATCCAAGTCTCCATCATTATTCACAAGGTTTCCAACTTTGGTAGAATGCCGACATTTGACATTGGCATCTTCCCCAAAGTTGAGAATGTTATCCAGTCTGGCGAGACAGAGAAAGGACGTTTTCCCGGTCATTCCAGGTACCCAACTGGATCCTTCAATCCCTCCCTTGACGCGAAACAAAAAGGCTCCACCCGACATGAATCGTCCGGCGAGATCAAAGGTGCCACCACCCAACAGGTCAATTTCGGTCGTAATGGTGACGGGGATTTCATTGCGTGCCTTTTTCTTCAATGTAGCCTCTGGGACTTTCCAAGTGCCAATGACCAAGTCGGCGTCACTTTCCGGTGGAAAGGACATGGCCAGGTCGTCATTATTGTCCGAAGAAGATTCCATGCTGGTGGCGGGAATGACAATGGTTCCTTCTTCCCTTTGTTCATAGTCCAGGTCGTATGGATTGGTGTTGTTGACCTAAGTAAGAGATAACAATGATGAGAGAGAATGAGATGAGAAACTGACTGACTGACTGTAATCGAGAGGAATAGAGGACCAATCTTACCTCCATGATCATCTCCAATGTCATTGTCGCCGTTGTGGGAAGGACATCACTGGCAGCTCCACCCGTGATGGAATCGAGGAATCCCCACAAGGCATTGCTACTGGTGGCATCCCCATTGGATCCCAAATCCAAATCTTTAATGGTCAAGGAATAGACTCCGACACAGGGATCATGAAAGGTGAAAAAGCCCTGGACACCCAATGCTAAACACACAATGCCCACAATCAGCAGACAGGAAAAGCAGCCAACCGAACAGGCAAGACGGGAACATCTGGAAACCATTCTGTTGCTGGGTACGGATTGACTGCTTTCGAGTTGCGAGTGATCGTCGTCGTGTGGGAGAGAGAGGGTAGCAGAGTCGTTGTCCTTCATAGTTGTTGTTGTAATGTGTGTGTTTATTACCAATGCAACGTCTTCGTCTGTAAAATTATGATGATGAGAGTCTTGCTGATTCATTCTACTATGCTATTACATACAAAGGACAGGATTTCATGCATACGGAAGAGTTAGCTACGGAAGTCCTGCAAGCAATTATTTCCAATTGGTATGTACGGTACCGGTATGCATGTGCCTTCTTCGCTTGACTTGGTGGGTCCACCAAAAAATGAACGATCGAGGCCGTTGCGCTTCGGCTTGCAGTTCAGCTTGCCGTCGATCGTGTCAATGGAGGGAGAAAGAAAATGAAACCTTCCCCCTAAGGACATTATGAATTTCCGATTCGATTCGATTCGATTCGATTCGGAGAGGACCAAACCTCGAGTAACCGATTTGTAACCGAAATAAACGTTGTGTGGAATGTCCGAAACGTTGTGTGGCGGGAGACCAGCCTGACGTCTTTTTAGCTTTCCCACTTCCCACACAAACAGGAACATCACCCTCACCACCCTTCAAATTGCAAACTTATAGCTAATAAGCGTCCAGTTTGAACGGTACAACAAGATGATGGATCCAGCACCAACAGACAGAGGGATTGAGCTGAAAAGCTCGGTCTCTCATCAAGAGACCATGAATGGAAGACGGAATCGACGGCGAAACCTCCCTGCGTCGCACACGTACCAAGGATTTCTATTTGGTCTGGCTTGGATCCTTTCTGCGGATAGACTACCTCTTGTCAGTCCCTTTTCTTCAAGATCCCATAGCTACCTTGCTCATGCCAAAAGTGGATCCATTATGCATCAAAAGTCAAGACAACTTGTTTATTCTGCTTTGGATGAAAATATCCAGCATGACAATACTTGTAACCCACAGCAACAACAGCAACAACCACCAACAACACCCGCCAACTCCAACACGGAATTTTCATTTTTCGACGAAGCCATTATTTTTGTACGAGCCGGTCCGGGCGGTCAAGGTGCTTCTACCTATCGCAAGGGCGTGGGTGGTCAAAACGGTCCACCCGATGGAGGCAATGGTGGCCGCGGTGGCAATGTCATTTTGCAAGTGGATGATTCGCTCAACACATTGGCGGGTCTCAATCCTCAAGCATTTCGACCCAATTCCTTTGGAGGCAGTGGTGCTGCCGTCAAGAGTCCCAGCTCTGCCAATAACAACAATAATCAACAGCAATGGACATCGGTCAAGACATTTCGTGCTGAACACGGTGCCAATGGAGAACGACAATTCAAAAATGGACGATACGGACAACACGTCACGGTGCGATTGCCACCCGGGACGGTGGTACAAGAACAAATCACTCGTGCGGATGGGAGTATCTATCACAAGAATTTGGGATCGGTCACCATTGACAATCCAACCATGATTGTAGCGCAAGGAGGGGAAGGTGGAGAAGGATCGGGTGTGGCATCGGCTGGGCGAGGCGTTCGCCGAAAACGGATCGGACAGCAAGGGGGCGAAAAAAAGACGCTCATGTTGACACTCAAAATTGTAGCCGATGTTGCATTGGTGGGAGCGCCGAATGCTGGAAAGAGCACTTTGTTGGCCGCTGTCACTCGGGCCAAACCAAAGATTGCCAATGTAAGTGACTGACCGACTGACCACATTATCAAATATTGGCCCGTGTGCTTTGCACCCCATTGCTCGTTTCTAATCTGCAACATCCATTTTCTGCTTCCCCTTTTGAAGTATCCTTTCACAACCGTTATTCCCAACCTGGGAGTCTGGATCCCTCCAGAAAGTGACTACCGAGATCAGCCTATGGATGGTCGAAGACACACCGATGGGGCTGGCAGTGAAGGATTGGCCCTCTGCGTAAGTGCATGTTATGTTGGCTCGTTCTTGGCTAACAAACAAAACAAGGCTGTTCGATTCGATTGCGCTGTCCACTAAACTAAGTGATTGATTCGATGCGGTTTGCAGGATGTCCCAGGATTGATTGAAGGTGCCGCCAAGGGCATTGGTCTGGGTCACGCCTTTTTGAGGCATATTGAACGATGTCATGTCATTCTGCACTTGGTCGATCCAACCGCACCGGATCCGCTTGCCAACTTTGACATGATCAACCAAGAGATTACCAAATATGGGACGGGACAACTTGCCAAGATGCCACAAGTGGTTGTCATTAACAAGAGTGATGTTTGGGACAATGGCAACAATGACAGCGGCGTAGAGCCTACCTTGTCGAAAGAAGACCTGGAGGCGCAACTAAGACAATCCATGTCCCATACACGCCTCATGTGGATGAGTGCCAAAGAAAAGGATGGCGTGGATGACTTGATGATACGGCTCGAAAGTTTTGTCAAGAAAGTCAAAAAGTCCAAGGAGGAAACCACTAAAGCGGAGGAGGCCACACCTTGACAACCGGATGCAAAACTTGTGGTTTAGTTAGTTGTATGCTACTCCTTGAGATTGATTGATCGATTTTTCACACGACCATCTCATTGCAGGAGACCACTGTTCAACAACAGAAACCAAAATGTTTCAACATCCACAACAAACTGCACCAGTAGCGAAATAATCACAACTCGTACGCAATTTATCTAGAATCATGAATCCGAAACAAACTCTGGCGCTTGGAAAGAGGCTTTTGCTAAGGTTACCAGGTTACCAAGAAACTTTGTGAAAGTTGGCGGTTCCTTGTCTTCATCACCTTCCCAGACATTTGGCAAAATTCCCGCAGACTTGGCATCAACTCTACAATTCTTCACCCACTTTCGAACCGCACAGCCTTCCTTCTTATTCCAAGTCTTCACATCCCACACAAAACCAATGTCTGCCAATCTCCCTTTTCTTGTTGGGTCTAATGTTCCCTTCTTATATTTGTCTTTGCGTGAATACCCAGCGTCCCCATTCTGGATTGTCCTTGTATCTGACTGGAACAAGGCAGTTTCCGTGTGTTGCTTTGAAGGACAATACCCTAGCTGTTCAAACTTTGCATTCCACTTCTTGTGATGATGCTCCTTTGATACAGGAATCTCGCTAGGAGAGCGGAATTTTGGAATGAGCCACTCTCTATCCTCACTGACTGACTCCAAATCCTTCCTCTGATCAGGAGACAATTGTCGTTTGTTGTATCTCACCCTAACATTTTGGACCCATACGGCCAGTTCTTTCCATCGATCCTCCTTGCCATGTGTCCTCCGAGATACCCGACAGTTCCCATCGATAGCCTTGAATTCTTTTAATTCTTGCAGTTTTAGCTCCCATCTTTCTTTGTGGCTCAGATGCTTCTGATGCTTGGAGCCTCCTTCTGTGTTGCTCATGGTTTTTGCTTCTGTATTGGACAGGATCGGATTCGATTCATCGTACCGGTAGTCTGAACATCCATGGTTTCTGACCCACTGCGCAATTTCCCTATGGCCACATCTTCCTATTCAACGATAAGTCCCACATCCCTTTCGACAACCCACAGCAGTTCCCAATGACAATCGGGACGAAAGCCCAATAACGCTATGATGGTTGAAGCCACACCAACCTTTCATTTTGATCCGCCTTTTTAGAATGCAAATAAAGGTTGGAGGCAAACCAAACCGGTATCCAACTTCTGAAGCACCTGTTAGAGGCACCAACGCTTACGATTGGCGCGGCTTGCGCTGTGCTCTCGCAAGAACAAATCTAGCCAGATGACCGACCGACCGACGATCGAGACCAACCACAATGGCAATGCTATTATCGCTGCCACTCAATCGATCCAAAAAGACTGAAAGCTGAGCGAGTTGACCCACTTTGCCAGCCATCGCACAACACACACAACCCTCTCGTTTGCTTGTGAGAGTTGCTCGAATCGTCGTCTCTTTGCTGTGGAAGGAAGAGAGAGCGCAACAAACAACATTCGTTGGTGCGGAGTACAAACATCCTCTTCGAATTTCCTTTTTCTGGGTTTTGACACACGACGATCGTCTTTTTTGAAAAGACATCCCTACCGTATCGTGCCATGCACTTGATGACCTCGTCGACCCCGGAACAGCACGAAATGGCTCGCCTGAAAGCAGAAGAAGAGACGCGAAGTAGCAGTGGTGGTGGAAAAAGCAAAAAGGCAAGTCTATTGCAAAAAGTCAAATCAGAGGAAGCATTATTATTAGCGAATGCCAAAAAGCGCGTCCAGTACGGCGCCGCCATTCCAGTGAAAGCGTCGGGTACGTTTCCCCAAGCAGGATCCATACTAGGGCCTTACTTTTGTCTGGGAACTCTGGGGAAGGGAACCTTTAGCAGCATTCACAAGTGCATCAATTTGAACTACGCGCACTGTACGCCTAACAACAACACCAAAACAAAACGACTGGCCGCCGCCAAGGTGGAATTGAGTACCTTTGTCAATTCCGGGGTTCTCTTGGGGGAAGCACTGGTATTGCATTTCTTGGATGAGTCGTTGCCACGAGAAACCGTCCCGGTGTACATGGGTCATTACACTTCCGGAAATGCCGCTGCCATTGTCATGGAGTATTTGCCCGGTGAAGACATGCATCAACTACGTGAGAATAGAGACGCACCCTCCGGAAGAGCACCGCGACGACTCACCATTGAAGATGCCGTCTACTTGACGGCCGATGTCATGTTGCCGCTGCTGGAGCAAATGCACAAGGTGGGAATTGTTCATCGAGACGTCAAACCTTCGAATTGTGTTCGAAAGAATGGGCGAGAATTCTGTATGGTCGACTTTGGTTTGTCCAAGAGTGTCGTCGTTCCAGCCGATTCGGGATATGCCGACGTAGACCATCCGTGGCCGGCAGATCAACCGTGGCTCGTACCAGACTCCACTACTGCAAACAATAATAACAACGCACCAACGACGACAACACAACGAGGATGTTATCGCAAGGAACGAACCAGCGCCGATTTTAGAGGAACTTCCATGTACGCCAGTCCACGAGTTCATCAGGGGCGAGACTACAGTCCGAGAGATGATGTATGGAGCTTGCTCTATGTCTTTTGTGATTTGGTCAGTGGAGGATTGCCCTGGATGTCCCATGCCGCCAACAGAGATCGAGATATGTGTCAGAAAATCAAAGAACGAGTCCACGGTCTAACTCCCACCGGATCCAACGCGCATCAGGATGAATCCGAACGACTTTTGATGGGAGACGATTTCCATGTAGCACTATTTCGACATCAGCAACGAGAGGGGACTTCCAACAATCCAGCGAAACCAAATATGGCATCGCTTCCAGCAAACCTGCCAGCACCATTGGAAATGTCGCAAGACAAGACCAAAATCAAGTTGTTGAGACAAGCTTTTTCACATGTGGCCAAACTCCAATTCTGGGATCAGCCCGATTACGCTCTCATTCGACGTTGCATTCGAGGATTCCTTGACGAGGAAGGAGCCGTCGGGGAAGCAGATGATATTGAGATTGATTGGAATGAAAGACAGGAGCCGCCGTCGTCCTCCAAAAAGAAACGAAAGCGAGAGAAAGCTGACCGAGATTTGCCGAAATGGGAGTTTCGGGGCGCACTGTGCGATCCAGAAATGGATGAGGATCCGATGGTGGACAGTGACCTCTTTGACGAAGTGACGTTGCCAACCGATACGGCGGAACAGACTACACTGTCAGATTGGGAGAAATCCGTTCGTCGAATGCCGCTGGAACGACAGTTTCGAATAGCACAGATGGAGTACCACGCCAATCATCCAACGACCGCTCTCAAGCACATTGTCCTGTCTGATTGGATGAAAGTGGCCATTCCTCTGCTGTACAAGGAGTGGGACTCGAAAGCGTTTGAGAGTGGCGGACATCGCACAAACACGGACGGGTATCGTAGGGAGTTTTATTTGGAGTTGGTGGAAAAGTGCACGGAATGGGCGAAACTATTTGGTAACTTTGGCGGAAGGGAATATCTTGGATATCACGCGTCGTCTGGTTCCAACGGCATCATCAAGATGGAGGATGGCGAAGTCCCACCACTACAAAAGAAGAGGCGCGGCATAGAGTCAACATTCCCCTCGAACTGCGCGCCGAATGACTTTGTCTCCGTGTCGAAGGTCTTGTTTGGACTCAAAGCGTCCAGTCGATCGGAACGCGCCAAGAACTTTGCTCCTCCGCCGCCACTCTCTTTTGGTGCAACTCGATAACTTGTCAAATGTTTGGCGTGAACTTTTGAAGTTCTGATGCCTACGATCTGTGAAACCCCCGCAACTGACAATCCTTCTGGTGATGCATGCCAACCTCGACGAAGATGACGACGACTTCATGTGTTGGAAATCGCCACGGAGATGAAGAAATCTGTAGTAATATACCAGCTTGAAAAATTGTTGTTTCCCATTTCTTCTGTCTTCCATCAATCAACCCCTCTTGTCCTGGCCTTTTGGAAATCTCTTGCCTGTGATCGGTAATGAAGTCGGAACTGCGGAAATCAAGGAAGCGGGTAAGATAAGAGCAAAGTAAAGGGGACAAAGAAAGGAGACCGCATTGAAGCAGAGTCGAAGCGAAGATTGAATGGATAACGAGGATGCTTTTTTACGTCGGCAAGAGGTTAAACTCAACAATCAACCTGAACGCGGAGCGAAATAAAGAACTAAGCACACTGAGATTAAAACGATAAACTGGTGCTGTCTACGACCTTTTGTTAGCTAGCTAGCACCATACCGGTATCATTTAGAAGAGGAGAGCCTTTAATCACAAGTCCACACAAGCTACATCGAAGTCTTCCTCATAAAGTCACGTGCGCTCTTCCTCTTGAGGTCAGCCTCATCGGTCAGGTCATCGAGGCTTTGCATTTCGTCGTGCGTGAGCTCGAAGTGGGTAACTTGCCGATTCTCAATCATGTGAGCTAGCTTTTGTGACCGAGAAACAACGACAAAGCCCTTCTGCATCGACCACCGAATCATGACCTGCGCCGCTGTGACTTTGTGTCTATGGGCAAGCTCCATGATAACGGGTTCCTCAAACGATTTTCCACGGTTCAAGGCATGCGAGGCTGCCACCAAGACCTTTTTCTGCTGAAAGTACAGTACCTTTGAGTGAGGGCACATCGCGGGCGAAAGATCAACCTGAGCAACGGCAGGAGGGATCTCGATCTTTTGCTTGACCAACATTTTGAACTCTCGTTCGCTAAAGTTTCGGAACCTGTTTTCATGGCATGGAAAGACTGGTGAGACGCGAGATCTACATGGGCAAAGGCACTACTGTGGCCACACGTACCCAATTTGACGAATCAAGCCTTTTTTCTTTAGATCTTCCAGCTCTTTGTATGTCTCCACATAATACCGCGGTACGGGCCAATGCAACATGAACAGATCAAAGTAGTCACCAAAGTTCAAGTCCTTCAACGACCGCTCGACACTCTTTCGTACGGCAAATCTGCCACATTTCTGCGCTTCATTCCAGACTTTGGAGCAAATAAAGAATTCCTCCCGAGGAATTCCACTGGCACGAAGCACTTTTCCGAGCGTCTTTTCATTTCGTGAGAATTGCGATGTGTCAAAGTGACGATATCCTGCCTTGATGGCGTTTTCAATGATTTCTTCCCCCGCTTTGGTGGGCGGCACCAGGTTGAGCGAGAATGCCAATTGTGGAATGGGAGTACCATCTACCATGCTCAACATGGGTTCCGCGGCTGTTAAGTCTGCCACGGGAGCCTCCTTTGTGCAACAATGCGTTTCGACCAGAGGAGTCTTGAGTTCTCCTGCAGCAGGAACTTTTCCCTCGGCACGCAGTTGATTGAGTAAAAACATGGCGCTATTGAATTCGAGTCGAGTCATGCAATGCAAGATGTACAAGGTGGGAAGCATAACCAGGTTAGACAAACTGGAGGCTTTGCCCCACGTACCGGTACCCCAATTAGTTAGTCTGTTGCATTGACTTACATCATGGTTTTGGAGTCCCCCGAGATTTTCCAGACCTTTTCCCAAGGAACGACATGTAGATTGATGGTTTCTCCAAATTCCGTGGCAGGGATAATTTTGTTTTGTAGATTTTGCAATTGCTCGGGTGTGACGGACTTTTCGACGTAAAAGTACCGTATGACTTCATCGCAAGCTCCTGCCGACGGTGCAATCCCCGGATACGGCAAATGACCCGCTTCCATGGCTTCTTGGCATGCAGCTTCGGTTAAATCGACGAGATCGTCTTTTTGGACGGTAAGACCACATTCTTCCTCCAAATCTTTCACGGCCGCGATGCGTGGATCATCGTCGTCATCATCGTCCAACATTCCAGCGGGAAGTTCCAAGGCGGAAATCTGGCCAATCGCGACACTAGAAAAAGACAAAAAGTTTGAGGGATTGGTGAGTACCATGCGTACCGACAAAAACACAACACTGCAAGAGTCTCTCTTCTTTGACTCACCGAGCTTGTTCGACCAACAAGGAGTACACCTTTCCATCTTCGGCATGCAATGCCACCAGAATGGCCACCGAGTCTCCCTTTAAGAAGCAGATACCCTTTAATCTCTGTTCATGCTCCATGTCGCCTTCTACCAATGTACAGTGCGCATTGATCTTGACAAATCCAACACCTCGTTGCCCAAAGGGATCCACCGATTGGATCTCTACCGAATGCATCTTGAGCAGTTTGTTGCCATATGTCTGTTCGCAGCGGGCTACCCAGTTGGTGAATTGCTTGCATTCCATCACCATTTGAGCTTCTCCAGGAGTCACAGTGGATGCCACTGTGACGGGGACATGATCTCCACGAAATTCAAACGATAGAGCACTGATATCAAGCTCTTCAACGCTCTCCTCTTCCGAGGTTGACACCGACATGTGGGACGTCATGATGGTTGGACTGGATTGGACTTGAATTTATTAACTTGAGATTGCCAAAAACTGGAAGATACGAGCAGCACTTCTTGCGAGCGTATCTACGAACCTACTAAGGCCGATCCTAGTCGTAAGCGAGACCGAGACCGAGACATGAGGATTTCGAGGATGCCACTCTTTATCAACCGTTGAATTTGATTCCAGTTAATCAAACGTGACATGTGTCTCGGACTGCTGGCATGCATGCCCGAGATCTTGCCCAAATTTCGTGGCTCCAGTCATGCTTCCGAGATAGCCACTATACGATCATCAGTACTCTGTCAATCGGTTGCTTTCGGAACATTTTTATACTTTATCCATGCCGAATAAATGATATATATCACATAAGCCCCGTCCGGCAGGCTGCATCTCAACGTCTCGTGTCTCGGTCTCGCTTACGACTAGGATCGGCCTAATGCCAACAGTTGGATGATAAAGCGAGATGTCACTAAGCAGAATGATTGTGAGTGATCGTTCCGTCCACAATCCGGGAGCAGACTTCGACAACACCAGCAAGGTCGGGAAACACCAATGATGTTTTGAAATTTTTCAAACAGTTTTAGTTTCTCATTTTTAGTTTTAGTTTCTCATTTTTAGTTTCTCATTTGAGAAACTAACAATTTTAGTTTCTCATTTGATAAAATAGTTTCTCATTTCTGGCAGAAATCACAACAAATGTACAAGCAGTTTCTTATATAGTTTCTCATTTCAAAAGATAGTTTCTCATTTCGACCAAATGAGAAACTAACTTTCTCATTTCAGAACTTAGTTTCTCATTTGAGCAACTACTTTCTCATTTGAGAAACTGTCAAAAAGGGAATTCTGCATGCTTCCGGACCTTGCAGCAAAACAAACAAACCAGTCTTTGTGGCTCAAAGGAGCAGCCGGAAAAAGGGCTTTGTGACAGCTGTTGTGACCGTGACGTCAAACTCAAACAGGGGGGAAAGAGAAGGCAGCGCTACTGGCTTATTTTTTATTTACACCAACGCTGGGGGTGCAAAGTCCAATTCATCTACAGCCAAGCTAACCATTATTATCAACAATAACCGGCCAAGCAACAAACTACCGTCGCTACCGGGTACCGATAACTCCTCATCTGTGAAAAAGTGGTTCAGGAGAAACACTGTAAAGATGCTTGCATTCAGCGCTCTCCCTCGGGCTGCCGAAGCAGCCTCCAGTCAGGCATTTCGGCTCAGACAATCAACGTGTAAGAGTGGTGGCATGAATGATGAATCGAATACGTGTACAGTACTCCTTTCTCACAATCTCAGTTTCTTACGCACAGCACTCTAGTAGCTAGCGACAGCATAATCATATCACCTCGCACATACATAGACCCGTAATTTATTCCACCATGGTACGAAGGTCCAGCGAAGCGTTTGACGCAGCCATGTTCCGAGATTGTAGCAAACCGATGACACCAGAAATTGCGTTGCCTGCATTCAAGAATCAACCCACAAATAGTGGCAGCACTCTGCGCAAACTGTCGCAACACGTGTGGGCACAGACACGAGGCAATGTGTTTTTTACGCTCCAGCTCATTCGAAGAATACTGCAAGATCAGGAAAAGCGTAGCAGGGGCATTTCTCGGCGGTGGATCTCATCACAGAGATGATTCGAGGTCTTCCCAATGACGTCCAAGATGTGCTCAAGATAGCCTCGTGCTTTGGCGCCGAGTTTCATTCTGCCGTTTTGGAAGACTTGGTTGACTTTGATGCGACTTCTGCGTTGAAGATTGCCGAAAAGCGAGAGCTCATTGTCACCAGTGAAGGGAGAAAAGCCAACTGCGAGGACGACGACGTCAGAGCAACAAATGGAGGTTCCTTCATGATCAGATCCAGCAAAGTGCCTATTCTCTCATCCCAGTTGAGCAGCGAGAAGCGGCTCATCTGGGAATTGGCCGTAGGCTCTGGAATGAATTCGATAAAGCTGAATTGCAAAAGTATGGCTTTGCCATTGTCCGGCAGTTCCGTTTAGGGGCTCCTCTAATCACGGACGAAGCTGAAAGGTATCGCATGGCAGAACTGCTCTTGCGAGCTGGGGCTCATGCCTCTAGGGCTGCTGCATTTGATGAAGCAGCCTCTCATTTCGATCTAGGCATCCAGTTGTTGACAGGTCGACGTTACTGGAGGGACGAATACCATCTTAGCTTGGCCCTTCACAACCGGGCCGCCGAAGTGGCATATTGCAATGGTGATCACGAGAAGGTGGAAGCACTGACATCCGAAGTTATCGCCAATGCCAGACGGAACGGAGACAAGCTGGATGCGTACAGCTCCCAAATGAACTCGCTAGCTGCCACCAACGACACCAAGGCCGCATTTGAACTGTCGCTTCGAGTGCTGGCCGAGTGTGGATACTACAGTCCGAAGAGGCCGGATCGATTCAATATTGGCATTGGACTGTTCAAGATTAAACGCCAACTCAAGCTTTATACCAACGATGACATCAAGAAAGCCAAAGGTTGTAGACAAGGAGGTACTCGACGTGATGAAGATCATCAATCTCGCCATATATTCTCCTTGTATTGTGCTCCCTCCTGTTGCCCATCTATCACCATGTTGGGTGTACAGCTATCTCTCGAAAAGGGTCTCTGCGGTGCGTCTTGTGTCCCATTTGCGTCTTTGGCCAGCTTGCTCTGCATGTACGATCGAGATGTCGAGATGGGCTTTCGTTTTGCTCAGCTGAGTTTGGACATTGTCGTCAGCACCAAGGCATTCAATTGGCAAGCCAGAGTGTTTGCTTTTGTCCATGGAAACGTCCTGGCAATAAAAGGACCCATTGTGGAACGATTCGCTCCACTGATGCAAGCGCACCGATAAGGCGTGGCCAGTGGCGACTTGGAAATGGCCATGATGAACGCCAATTTGTACCGCATGATTGGCGTACATTCCTGGTTGCCGCTCAAGCCTTTAGTAGCCAACATGAGAACGTTTCACAAGGTGATGGAAGCCCACCGTCAAACCAACGCCATTCACTACCTACTCCCCACCTTTCAGTTTGCTCTCAACATGATCAGAGGAACTGAAAAGCCAGGACGGATATCAGGAAAACTTTTCGACGAAGAGGAGTTCTTGAATGTCCAAGCAGTCGACAATCTGTCCGCCAAGGTCACCATGAAGGTCTGCAAGCTCATTCAGGCATGTTACACGGGGGAATACGAAGTAGGCGCGAGAGTGGCGAGTGACGCTCCCAATTGGCCGACGGAAACATTTTCGCCGTTCATTCGCACCTTTATCTGCCTGTATACCGGTGTCTGCAACGCGGCAATTACCCACACCAACGAGAGTCTCCGTTCTTGCAAACGGCAGCGTCTGGCCATTGTCAAGAAGAACTTGCGACAGGCCAAGCGTCACGTTCGTTTTTCCGAGGGTCGCTACGATGCCGTGCTGCATATTCTTCAGGCCGAAATTTATGGCATTCGAGGGCGGACGAGGACTGCCGTGGCGACATTCCAAGACGCCGTGGATTGTGCCCGCGCAGAGGGGCTGACCAGTCTCATGCGCCTTGCCAGTGAACGAGCCGCCGCACTCTTGTCGAAAGTAGGACGTTGGAAGGAAGCCAAAATGCACTTGGAAAAGGCCGCGGATGCCTATCAGTGTTGGGGCGCCGATGCCAAGGTTGAGAAGCTGTTGTTGCGCCTCAAGGAGCTGGATCAAGAGCATCCCACCTTCAGTTCTTCGTTCCAATTCATGCCTGTCAACATGCGATCTGGGTTTGCCAAGGCGGCCTAGCTAGTACTGCTGGTTGTAATATAAAAGAGCAAGCTAGCTAATATGCAATGTTTAGACTATAGTTGCGTATCCTTTTAGCAACGGTGGATCCTTGCCCGGGGCTTTGAAGAATGTAGCGATCCTGAACGGTGCTGGTGGTCTTGCATCGGTTGGTTGATGAGACAAATGAGATTACTTTTGGGGGTGGGAGGAGGGTTGCAAGGCGGCTTTGTCTGGATTGATTGCATCAGTCCAATTAATGTCAAGGTTGTTCCCTTGGCCAGTTGCAATGATTCGATTCAATCGGTAATTTGAAGGATTGTTGATGGAACGGTGTCGAAATGGGAATTCGGCCAAACATCTTCTTGGGGTCGGGACGAAGAGTTTTTCGTAGAGTAGAGACATCCACAAACTAAACAAGTCGTGGTGTCATGCAGACACACACACAAACATCTCCTTTTGCAATCGTAGCCTCCAGCACAACAGGTGGTGATCTTCGAAATGGAAGACGTCCCGTATTGTTGCGTACGTCAGTATTGTTGCGTATCTCACTTCAGGCTGTGGGAACACACCAAAAGGAAAAGTACGTTGCTGCTTGCACTAAAAAAGAACGGGTCTTATCTTGAAGTTCTAGCTAGGCAAGCCTCGGACAAAGGCTTCCAATCGTAGCAAGAGCTCGTTTTGACAAGAACGTATACCATGCCACTTGTCGCCGTCGACCGTCGACCAACCTTCCAAGGAAAGCTACCAGCATCCATGTGCCAGCCAACCACAATCTCCCGAGCTTGTTCCGCTCATGCCTGTCTGTCCTGACAAAATGGTTGCAGATTGTGCATTTCTATTTTTTTGTTTTGGTCCCCTTTTGCAATTGTTGAATTTGTGACTTGAGTCGTCCGGTCAATTTTTGTGATTTGTCCTGTTTCTTGTCGCGTGCCTTGACTTGTTGTGTGTGCGTACTTTTGCCGCGTTCGGAAATATCCTTGAGAAAGAATTTGTCTCCCGATGCTACAGCCTTGGCAGCGACGTATGCTTCGTTCTTTTTGTTGATTTGTTTGCTGAGCGCCACTTCTGGTTTGGCCGCGTTGACAGCGTGCGTCCGTCGTGCATTGCGGCCTTTGCGACCCTTGGTCATGGTTTTGCTGCGAACCACTTTGCGTTTTTGAGATCCTCCCGATTTGGGGGTCTTTTTCAATTTCATGGACGAGCCTTGGGCCATTTTGAATTCTTTATTTAGTTGTTGGGAAATATGGAGGGACTGTTGTTCTGTTGTTTTGTTTCGTTGTAATGTCAACGAGTGTTCAGATCTCGCTTTCGGCGCTTTCCTCTTTTTTCTCTATCTTCGATCCTTCGTTGTCGATACCTGTTGGCCGTCAACTTCGTTGTGGATGTGCTTGGTTGTTGGATTTTGTGTTGTTTGTTCCTTGGTGTGGGTTGACCGTTGTGGAGTTGGTTGGTTTGGACGATTTGAAAGGTTATGAGCCGCAAATCAAACACGCTTTGCCTTCATTCGAGACCCGAAAAGCAACAGCAAAATCCAAGAACCAACGACGCCTCCCCTTGCATCGTTCTCTGTTGCCACTATCCTTTTGCAATTGGATTGAGTTGAGTGCTTGTAGGTAGTGTTGTGTAAGATAAGATGATTATCCCAGTGCGATGCTTCTCCTGCGGCAAGATTGTGGGAAACAAGTGGGAAACCTACCTCAGTCTGCTACAAGCCGACTTTTCCGAGGGGTAAGTCAGAATATCCATGTCTCTTTCTTTTGTGATTGGTGTATCACTGACCCACTTGTCTTTCAATTCTCTTCTTTTTTATTTCTTTGACAGAGACGCACTGGATGAGCTGGGCTTGAAGCGATACTGCTGCCGAAGAATGTTGCTCACACATGTCGACCTCATTGAGAAACTACTCAACTACAACACGGAATCCAGTGAAGGAATCGAACAAAACTAACTAATCTATCAATTACTACGACTGTACTACAATTGCAAAGAAAGAAAGAAACATTGCATGGCGTCGATGGAATGGAATATGGAATGGTGTGCTGATGGAAGACGCATACCGTATGATTAGAAAAGTGAGAGATCTTTGTCAAGCAAGGAAGGAAGTGCCATGGCATTCAAGATACCAAAAGGTTGAGTCGAGCCACCAACAAGTCTACGCAGCAATTTACATCATACACTGATAGGGGGGAAACACAGCGGAAATAGCCATGCATACATGTCAGGTTTTAGATATCAGATCTACGTTTGCTACCGGTATGTGCTACGGTAGCTTTGATCAGATCCTGATTAGTTTAGATTTGTACTTTTTATTCTTGGTCGTGTCATTTTTACAGTTCAAGCCGTCTAGCTAGTTCGTTCGTTCGTTCATTCGTTCGTTTCCATGCGTATTGTTGACACATTGATGCCATCCTGGCAGAATCGAATCTGCTTGATTGATTGTTTGATTGTATTTTAAGCCTTGAACTCCGTTTGGACAGGTCCAATTTGGGGTGTCAACACGAATGTACGAGCCGCTTCCGAGAATCCGTGCCATTCATTGTAACGAGACCACAAGGAACGCATCACGTACACCAACTTGATGTTGTGTTCTTCAATCTCTTCATAGGCTGCCGCCACTGCAGGAGACCAATCAAAGCTATCCTTGTCGTCGTGCTTGGTCAAGGGAATCTCTACTTGAATTTTCTCCAATGCTTCCTTCTTCGGGAATCCAGCATTACTCGTCGCCAACAAACAGACCAGACTGCTGTAAAACTGCATCACGGCGCGACGTTCCACGGCAGGATCGTTCATGACACGGCACACCTTCTCCAATGCCCACAGACTCGTCAAGGAATGCAAAATCACAAAGTTACCATTGCCTTGAGCGGTCTTGGTGGCCAAGTAGATCCATGTGCAAGTCTGATACAAATCTTTCCAGAGTTGTTCCGAGGATGTGGCCTTGGTAATCCATGTCGGCAGATCCGTGGCTACCTTGTGAGGTTCCGACAATACTTTGGCCAATTCCCATTGAAATCCAGCCTTGACCAATTCGGGATGGAATGTCTTGTCGTATTTGGCTTTGACGGGTTCAATCCAGGTTTCTCTGAGATTTTTCGTTTCATATTCCTCGGCAATACGGAGCATGGATGCCATGGGAGACGCGTCGTTCACGGCATCCACCTGGAATTTGGATTCGTCCACACCGACATGGCAAAAATTGAGATAGGCCAATCCTTCGGTAGTCATCCAGTCGTTGCCAGCATCCAGTCCCCATCCAAAGTGAATAATGCCGTGTGTCAACGCTCCCACAATGCCTCCCATCAGATCGGGTGCATACGAGCGTACAAGTTCCTCCATACTGTCATTCTTTTTCGCGCGTTCTTGTTCCAAATAGACACACATTTCTTGCCATTTTTCCTTTTTGCCACGCAATGCCTTCCATTCGTCGAGACCAGCAATGGGTGCGACCTGATCCCAAGGAGTGGGAACCTTTTCGATTTCCAAACTGTACGGAGTCAGCTTGGTGTACATATCCCAATAGCCTTGGATCCGTTCGGGCTTGGCTTCCAACTTGTCCAAGGCCACAATGGCGTGCTTGCCATGGTTCGAAAGGTAGCCTTGGAATTCAATAAAAAAGGTCTTGTCGCTGAGGAGGCGCTGCGTGGGAAGCTTCATGGTAGTGTTTTGCTTTTCTGTTTGTGTTGTTGTGTTGTTGTTTGTGTTTTTGATTTTTTGATTTGTGAGAGGTTGAGCCAAAGCTCCACAATCCTCTTGCCAATCTTTTCCTCTCCAAGGAAAGAGGCTCTTTGAGGATCTTTTTGATCGTTAGTCGCGTCAAACCTGCACTCCCGAGATCACCGGGAATGATTCTTGGCAGATCCTTGGCTCTAAAAACGCTGCTCAAGCTATTATGCGGTGATCTTGGAAGCTCATGAAAGCGATGCCTTCGACGTGTCCCCATTAGATTGGTTCCATCTAGCTCCAGCTAGTCACCCCGCCTTCCTTGGAGAGTGGAGGAACGGTTGGAACGAACATGCAAGCTGCATATATGGCTGCTGTCATGCAATGGATGCCCGGAAAATGAGAATTTCTAGAAGGGTACATGTAGTTTCTTCTTAGTGTGGTTACTTTGGCGCTGGTGCGGGTTTTTGCAGATGATGTGTGTTCTGATGGTGAGAGCTGGTGAGAGCTGGTACCAGTACTTCTGAAATGGGGGGGGGGGGGTACACACACACAGTGGTGTGCTACAGCATTAGTCTCTACTGAAAGCAGTGCTGCTTGAGATCCAAACTCAGGAAGGATCATCAAGAACCAAACAATGCTCAAAAGAAGTCAATCAATAATCTATGAGACAACTGCAGTTACAAGGTTACAACTACTAGTACTGAGTAATCAACTGCTTTGCGTGCATTGTTCTCACGATTTGGACTCTTCAGCCGAAGGTGCTTGGTCGGTCATTGGCCCTGTGCCATTCTAAACTTCTTGCCAAAACTAGACTGGCTAGGCTACTGGGGGTCCTCGTTGTCAAGCTTTTCCACGCTCTGCCTCTGGCTCATGGACGGTACTCGAGTAGTAGTCTACTAGTACGGTGGTACCTTTGCCGCACGGGTATGGTACCACCAAGTACCGGTACCAGGTGGTACGACTGAAGAGCGGCAGTCACCAAGTACAAGTCACTCGAGTCGGGTGAGACGAGGCGAGTGACTCGACTCGGTCCAGCAAGTCCTTCTGTGTCCTGACCTGTCCAAGTAAGTTGTGCCATGGTCTCATGGCCAAGAAAGACTGCTCTGTTTCTACTATTGTCGACCATGGACACGCACATTCTTTGACATAATAACGGGTATTTGTCACTAACAGCCGCAAAGCGAAAAGTTCATTATGTGGTTTGGTATCAACAAACCCTGTGTGCGACTTTATTCCTTTTCTGTAAGCAGTGTGGAGTTGACAACTGGCACCGGCAATGGCAGCCCCCTCCTGGGAGCTTTGGATTCATTGACAGGAGGACTGGCAAGTCCAGTGGCACCCACAACTGCCATACTGAACTTGGATCTTGTGCTTCAAGTCAACAATACAAATCCCTACAGGCTGGACTATAAGCAACTGGAACCAGGAAGTGTCGAGATTCCAGCATCCATGCTCAATGGACCTACGGACAGTCTGGGTTATTTTCCTGTTGGAAGCTGGGATCTTGTGAATGGAACCCTTCCTGGAAGCTCTGCTAGTCTTCTCCCTGTCTCAGTGTCTGCTGAAATTGGCCTGGATGACCCAGCAACTACGGGATTGGCACCCATGTTTGTGAGTGGTGGCGAAATGTCATTTTTGATTGAGGGAATTATCCGAGGGACTGGCTGGGTACCTTGGCTTCGAGGAGACGTCACTTTCCGCTGTTTGGCCCATGTGGATGACATTCTTCAGTTTGGAGCTCATAGTAGCGAGCCTCAATGCCAATCAACTCTTGGTGTGGAAGGCGTCACCTCTCAGGATTGCTGGGTACCAGTATAGCTAGCTAGCGAGAGAGACACAAAAGTTTTGTTTGTGCAGAAAGGAAATAAAAACGGGGCTAACCCGAAACAGAGACAAAATGTATGTAGCAAATCGAAAGGGTAGGATATCCAAAGTGCATGATGACATTGCCACATACAGCACAAAGGTTGCGCGTGGCTTTGTGAAATGTAGGATGGGCTCTTCAGTTCGCATATTATTGGCTCCTTTGGGAATGAATCGAAGCTTGCGGTCCCGGTTGGTACAGTACCCGTATTGGAGATACAACCGCGCCGAAGAGGCTTGTAGAATGAAAGCGTCACCGCCACAACCATCGGCGACTAACTTTAGTGATAGCTCGACCAGCTACTAGCACAGTACCTGGTACAGCATCGTTTTGCATTAACGAGCAATCGATCAGCATTCGCAGTGAGCCACTCCGTGCAGCGCTAGGCACTGTACGCAGTACCCACTCCGTCCGCATGATAAAGACACGCAAACAGCATGTCTAACAAAAGTATATAGAATTCAACAAACGAAGGATAGTGTAAACAAAGGCCAAACGCTATTATCTTTATATGAGGCGCGAAGCAAGGTGCAGCAGAAGCCAAGATACAGCCGATAAGTCAATGACCTTAGGCGAGGTTGAATCCGTTCTCGCAGACATCGCCCTGCTTGGAGATCTTCTCGTAAAAGTCCTTCTTCTGCTTCTTGTGGGCCTTGCGAGACTTTCGCAGGTCCTTCCTCTTGGCCAAGACAGCAGCCTTGTTCTTCTCACGTTGAGTCTCGGCTTCCTGTTGGGCACGACGCTTCTCGGCAGCATAAGGATCAAGTTTCTCCAATGCTTCAATGTTGCGAAGAGGATTGGCTTTGGGAGCATAGGTCTTTTGTCCATCCTTGGGAGCGTTGACAACGGACTGCACTTCATCGGAGTTGATGATACGAGCCAGGTCAGCATTGGTCATGGAGCAGTTGGGGATGCGCTTTCCTTCGTCTCCGTAGATAGTATCGAGAGCATCCAAGGCAGCCTGAGACCAAACACAGAAACGTCCCATGTGTCCACCAGGAGCCAACTGCAAAAGGTTCAAACGGTCGACAGAGCAGAGTTCCAAACCGGGAAGATTGCGGAATGCCTTTTCAATTCCATCGTTCTCCTTGTAAATGACCAAAGGTCCACGGCGTTGGACATAGCGACGATTACGCATCTTACCCTTACCAGCACGGATCTGCTTGGATTCGCCAGCATGCTCGACATCGTCCATGGCACCCACAGCGGCAAGAATGTCCTTGGCAGCAGATGTCTTGGATGTCTTTTCGATGCCGCTGTCCATGACAAGAGGAACTTCAGGTACCTCATCAATCTTGTGACCACGGGCCATGACCAAGGCGGGAACAGCAGAGGCAGCCAAGGCAGATGCAACGGCGTATCGCTTCTGGGTGGTGTTGATGCGACGGTGCCACTTGCGCCAGGTCTTGGTGGGAGCGAACATGCGTCCTCCACGACACATGTTACCGAAAGCACCCTGTCCAGAGCGGGAGGTACCTCCTCCACCAACACGGGGGATACGAGCAACGGCACGACCAGTACCCCAAGAAGAGGCAGACACCTGCTTTCCGGCATAGATGGAAACGGCATACGCTTGACGCTTGTTCTTGTTCATGTTGTAATGAACAAACTGGACAATGTCCGAACGGAGCGGAGCGGTCATCACATTGGGGAGATTAGTCTCTCCAGACTTCTCTCCCGTAAGGGAAAAGACGGATACAAGGGGACGGGCGGCCATGGTTGCTTCTTTCTTCAGCTTTAGCTTCCAAATTGGCAGAGGAAAGAGATCATCGGTTGCGGCAGAGTTGGGGCGGTGGGAGGAGCCGATTTACCGCTTTACTATTTTGAGGTTTAGCGCTAACGCTAAGCCTCACTTCCTTTCGAGCCAGTAAAGCTGCTATTTCCCTTAAAATACATCTCACTTCCTCCCCAAACAAGGGCATCGCATAGGAACCTTTCGAGGTCTGTCAAAGTTGTATCAAATGGGTGGGCAGGGATATCATCACTATTTGGGCCGACACTGGTCTTGAACTCCAAAACTGGGTGCATAAACCGGTACCCTACTAGCTGGATTCCGTGGCTTAGTCAGTTTCAAAGTATACCGGTACGGAAATCCCTCTCAAATGCTACACAAGCAACATGCGTTTCCCAATTTTCAGTCCAATTGTGATGCTTTCAAGAGGCAGCCCCTCCCAGCATGCATAGACAAGAAGGAGGGCCTTCCGGCAGGTGAGATGATGGTAAAGTTTATTGAGCTAGCACCTAGATAATCAATGCCACAATGCATTAAACGACTGAGGAGGTGACAGATGTGGGGTATTCACGTGCTGTGTAGTAACCATTTATGATGGTTGGTGAGGATAGAAACAGGCAAATGGCCACGTTGGTGACGGCTACAGCTGTGATTATTCTACACAGAAGCCTCTTGATATTTAATAGTGTAGATGCAATGATAAGCTCGCGTTTATCGTTGGATGCACTGCGATAGCCAGGACAGGTCACAAAAATGCAGCATCTATCTTGCTAGCTCGCAGCTTTGTTGTCTCGATTTAACAGTCTTTGCGAAGCTGCGCGCCTTATACATTGCTCCAAAGACTGGACAACATGGCTGCATCTGCCGGTCTTTGCCAACGTTTTGCCCTGATCATCAAGCGTCAGAGAACAGTGCTTCATAGCGCAAACAGCTGCAATTTTTGTCCCAGACGATGACAGAGTCTTGGACCGGGTCGGAGCCGATACAAAGGGTTTCCCGTCCAATCCAAGCTGTCCATCTCCACCTTTTCCAAAGACATAAACATCCCTTTGATTGGATGATAGTACAATTGTGTGATCTCCTCCCAGCGAAACATCACGGATAGAACCTTCCATCTTGCTGGCCAAAAACTCATTGCGCACAAATTTGTTGCGCCAGACCCTTCCCTGATTCCAAGTGTACCCCGAGGATCCACCTGCAGAGGACCCCAGCCCCAGCTGCTGCCATCGGTCACACCCCGCCAACCACAGAAAGCCTTTGGAATCTAGGAGCGCCGAATGACCCGATTCCGAACACCCGCCGACATACGCCTTGACAAAGTGAATTGTTGTCTCGTTGCTTTCGCATTCCACAGGCTTGGGCTCCTTGCTGTTGGAGCCGCCAGTGTCCCTTCCGAGCTGTCCCAAATTGTTCTTGCCCCATGAAAGCGCTTCGCCCCTGCTTGTAATACCCAAGAAATGCTTCGCCCCGTCATTGGGCTTCGCCGAAAAGATGAAGGGTTTCATGGCAGAATCGGGGGGTTGTAAGGTTGGTTTGTTGGGTTCATGCAGTGCATTGGGGGCCTCCAGGAAGCTTCTTTGCAATTTTTTCATTCTTGCCAACCGAGCAACCGAGACAATGACTCAGTCGTCGAATGTAATTCATATGCCCCCTGGGTCGTCTCCGTTTCCAGTACTAGTTTAACTTGTCTACTAATACAGGATAATGGTGAATAGAATCGAATGAATCATGTGGCTTATATTTAGGGTTTAGGTTTTGCAATTTTGAAGTCAACGTGTGTTAAGTGGAGGGTTGGCTCGCTTCCGCTGGGAGCTTGGTGTCTTCTTTTTCCTCTGTTTCCCGCTCTTCGTCGGAACTGGGGTATTCGGTAATAGGATCGTGAGGAAGTTCGGCAGCTTTCTTCATACCTTGTGGAGTGTCATCATTCTGACTATTCGCAGGTGATACTTTGGCCGACGTGGTTCGTGGAACAGGTGGGACGGGAGATGACGTATTTGGTTGCATTGGAACTGGGAATGGTTTGCGAATAATATTGGGAGGTCCAGTATTGAGGATTTGAAAGTGAGGGCACGGGGGATTTATACGGGAAGCTACTGTAGGAGACTTACCACCGTTCTCCTGTTGGTGCTTTTCCAGAAGAGTTCCCAAGAAGGCCTCAAAGTTCATGCCGGGGGGTAGTGCAAAACCATGGGGAAGGGCCAGTGTGGCAGCTTGAAGGCGAACTGGTGGAGTAGAGGTGGGGGCGGGG